ATGAATTGAACTAAAATATTTTCAAAATGGCGCCACTTCCGGAAATACCGGAAGTAGCCATCAACTTTGTTATTTTAAATAGGGCCCCCTATTTTTTCTACATTTTCGGATTCTACGTCGAATTTGGAGTACAACGATACCCCATAGTTGACCCTTTGCTCCAAGGGCTTCGCCGATATTCAAGTTTTTGTGTCAAAAATTGAATTTGCAGGGATAACTTTAAAAATTTATTATTCGAAAACGGTGAGAGATATTGCAAAACAGTTTTCAATGCTTTATTAAGGAAAGATCAAATTTTCATATGGTATGCGTAACCGTCTAAAAAAGTGAGACTACGTCACTTTTTCAAAGCTCTCAACTTTTAAACTTTTAAACATCCGTAACTCCATTTTTTCAAATGGCAGCTCCCATTTTGTTCTTCACCCTTGTTTTCCTTTTTCCCAGACCTTTAATTTGATGCAACATTTCAAAAGCTGCTTCAAACGGTTTCCGAGATATTCCATGTTTTAGTTACTTCTTGTGGAAAGTTGATAAAAAAATTAAATCGCTTGATGTTATTCTTTTGTTTTTATTGTGATAATGTTTAAACGTCAAATTTTCGCTGCTTTTCCTGGCAGCTATTCGATTACATTCACCGTGTATTAATATTAAATTCAAAAAATCTTCATTAGTGTAACCCAAACGAGGCATTACTGACGAGAAGTATAAGTTCAAGCAGCGAAAATTTGACATTTAAACAATATCATAATAAAAACAAAAGAATAACATCAAGCGATTTAATTATCGTTATTAATCGTTGTACTCCAAATTCGACGTAGAATCCGAAAATGTAGGAAAAATAGGGGGTCCCTATTTAAAATAACAAAGTTGATGGCTACTTCCGGTGTTTCCGGAAGTGGCGCCATTTTGAAAATATTTTAGTTCAATTCATCATGTGCCAAAACCCTTAAAGGACTTATCAGTTCAGCTTAATTTTCAAAGGTTTTCCATATCTTTCTAACTGACGCTCGTCAAGAATGACCCTGTATAGTCTTTATAACTAGGTACAAAAGCAGGTATCAGTGAAGAAGAGTAACTACGCGAGACGTTGTTATAATGTAGCCGAACTGCGGCCGCCGTAGTGCAATATTCGCTCCCCACAAAGTCAAGAAAGAGGTACGAAAAGGCGTACAAACGTTTTAATGACTGGTGCAAAACTAAAGGAATAATTACATCCACACATATTCCATTAATTGTTAGTAATTAAAAAACCATTATCCTTTGTGTAGGAATATTAATATTTAAAAACATCCACATGGTCTGCATTATAATTATCCAATCGTTGATTGAATGAATAATGAACAATCTAATTGTTATTTTGCATGTACTAGGACTGTGATGGGAGTCAGGCAAAAATATTACAGTACTAGTCAGGTAAAGATCAACTTTCTAATGTCAAAATAGCCCTAAAATTTAGATTTTCTTGACGGTTTCAGGTAAATAAACGAACAAGGGCAGAAATAAAAATTCTACTAGAAACATGAGAAAAAATTGAATGCTAAAAACTGAAGGCCCATCAAGACTCACCTTAGTAAGACGTTGTTTGGCGGCCATACAACGAATATTGTCATCAAACACAAATTTGGCAGACAATAGGGGAATCCGACTAGTCGAACCACTTGACAAAGGTCTATGTATTGTAATATGTAAGCAACGTGAGTCGTCCTTATCCCCCGAAACCTCAATGTCCTGCAGAAAACCGACCAATTTGGCAACACCCCAGCCGAGTTTCTTAGTGTCCGGCTCGACTAATATCAATTGCATGATATCGATGACTAAAAATCGCCTAATCTTCTGTCCGTCTTTCCAAACAACTGTGCATGCAATTAAATCTGAATTATCTGAAATAAAAAAAGCGTTATGAAGTGAATGTCGACTTGAAAACACCACAAAAATAATACAATCGCTAGATATTGTTGTATAAAAATATAAAATAAATAATTTAATTTCTACAAAAGAAAGATACATTAAAGTAACAACAATAAGGTTAGCTACAAACTATGACGGTCCTTTACACTAGCAATTGTTTGATTTTTGTGATCGTGACACACAACGAGCTATACTCAGATCCAAGGCAGTGTCGATTTGCACGCAGCTCTGGGGATTCGTCAGCGGTAGCTGGGTTTCTATCTCGCCGTTCAGCGTTAATACCGCATCTCTCACAAGAAAAAATACTCTAATCGCTCTTCTGGCCCTTTCCACCTGAAAACGATCTCGGTCAGCTTGCGTCGAAAAAAATACTAAGATGTACCTCTCCACATGGCAACCTTTTCGTAAAGTCTATGCCAGTCATGGGTGTTCCAGTCGGAGGTAACAAAATCGCGCTATCCATACATAACCATTCTACGTTTAGAGGACCTTTTGACATATCACAGTATCTAAAAACGGTTTCCGGGTATTAGTCTGTTGGCATGTTAAAGAAACATTGGCACGACTTAAAGGAGGATTTACAAATCCTGGATAACAAGTGTTATGTAAAGGTAAAGGTAAATTTCCACATACTGAATGTAATATAATCATGTTACGTTTTCCCTACAGAACAGTTTTATAACAGTTAACATGAAGGTTACCAATGGTATTGCTGTTATATATCTTAAACGTAACAACACTTTTATACGTGTACAATTACTAATAGAAGTGCAACATCTTCACCTTTTTAATTTTAAACTTCAAAATATGTAGTAACTTCACGCTACCGTCGTATTCTTACATATGGTCTGTTGGTTGATCTCCATGGGACTGCTTCAAGCAGGCAGAGTAGGTAGTTGTCTGTGCTCGTTGGCCTGTTATAAACACATTGCGGTCATTACTCGGGGGAAGTCTGACTTTGTATAGTTGAAGCAAGCCCCTTGAAACCGAATTTCAACGGAGGGCATCAAAGTTAAGCATTATACAGGGTGGTGACTTGCGTAACGCATCATAGGGATTTCAATGTAAAATTCATAACATGCGATTATTGGCTCCCCAAATTATTTTAGAGCAAAAATGTATTAAAGTTTTTTGTAGACAACATTTTTTTATGGCACTCAACCGTATTAGTTTTCAATTTTTTTCAAATAAAGACGGAAAATAATTGGAAAAATAAAACTCGCATCTTTTTCAATAATCTGCGATGCCATGGAATTTTCTAAAACAAAAAGATATCCAGTTATCAATTAGCAGCAGTTCGAAATGGATTTTATGATCGACTTGGTTACTGTCTTGCTGAGGCCGCTTGACATGTAGCAATACAACGCGCAAGAACTTGCAGAAAGAAATTGCAAGGTCAAATCCTTGCATGCAATTAAGCATTGCATGGTATTTGACATGGTGCAATTCTATTTCAATTGCCACATGTCTGCCAACAGAAGAAACATATGGATTTGTCAACAAAGTTGTTAACCTCAAATGAAAATTAAATTTTGATTGCTTGAAGAAACATGAAAATTACAAGAATAAATAAGATTAGTAAAAACAAATAATGAGTGCGTCTCTCAGCATCACAGTTGCCGCCGCTGTATTTTACTAGGTTGGTGCCACAAAAACAACTAGATTTCTCCCTAGAATTGCACGATTCATGCAAGAAAAATAGCACCGGTCCTATAAAAATTGCATGCAAGTCTCTTGCAGCAATTGATCAGCTGGCTTTGAACTGCGCATGCCTTTCGCAATTTTTCTTGCAACTTGCATGCAATTGCAATTTTTATTGCTCCATGTCAAGCGGGCTTTATTCGAACATTTATTGTAAATTGTTATATTAGGAAACCGTTTAGTCTTTCTTTATGTTGAATTCGCTGTTCTAAATATAATACTTTTTGATAGAATTTGATTTGTTTTATAGCAGACATTCCATGGCATGACGGATATTGGCGTAGTTTTTGTATTATAAAATTCCATGGCATCACAGATTATTCAAAAGATGGGGGTTTTATTTTTCCAATTTTCCGTCTTTATTATGCACAAAATTGAAAACTAATACGGTTGATTGACGTAAAAAAAATGTTTCTACAAAAAACCTAAATAAATTTTTGCTCTAAAATAATTTGGGGAGCGAATAATCGCATGTTATGAATTTTACATTGAAATCCCTATGATGCGTTACGCACCACCCTGTATATAATTTGCTACTATTTAAAATGAGTTTGTGTAAATATTAGGTAGTAGTAGTAGGTGTTACTCCATCCAGGATGAGTTTTTTTTCTAGGAGAGTGAGTTTGTTTTGCTTAAGATGTTGAAGTTTTGAAATTTTAAATAAAAATTGTTTCTTAAGCCCAAAATTTGTTGTTTAAATTTTAGGGGGGTAAAATGCTGTGATACCACGCATAATTTTGTTTGCGTATGTTTTGTAATGTAATGAGAAGGTCTTATCACCGCTCTAGATGGTTGGTCTGATGTTGGGCTATTATTAGATTATTGGTTTTATTTAATTTGATATTTTAAGTTGATAAAGATTGCAGGTGTTTCTTTGTATAGAATTTCCTTATCTTTAGAAATTATTCTTTAAGTATTATCTCAGTATAAAGTTTGTTAAAAGTAAATACGTTTGGACAGGACAAGTGATGTTTGTTTTTTTAAACTTTGTGACGGGTGTTGTTTATGAACCTAGTAAATTTTGAATCTCTTTTAATTTGGGCAAGCCGAGTGTTATTTTTTTGTAAAACAAAATAAGTGATTGTAAAAACAAATGCAATTAAATTTTGGTGATTGGTACACTTAAAGATCTGCGTTAGCATTTTGCATCTTTGTGTGGGTCATACTTGTCTCCTAGGTGAGTTATACAGCAGTATGTCTTGGCCCCTGAGATAATGCTTTTGGTGTTTGGTCTTGTTCCCAATAAAGATTTTTACATGATTTATTAAAATGCGTGTAATGCGTATGTGTCAGAAGGCCCATTAAAAGCACTGAAACTTTCTATTGTTTTTTTATAATGAAGTTTGGTATTTAACCACAAAATAAAAAAAAACGTTTATAATATTTAGATTTTACACTCATTTCCTTAAGAAATATACTACTTTCGGTCAACGCCAAAAATAATGAGAAGTTATTTATTTATTATCCCTCTCTTGTTCTGGGTATTTACCTTATGAATTAGGAAAACTGCAGAAAAATCTGTATATGAGAATATTTCAGTTTATTCAGTAATTGTGGGGGATTATTTACAAATGAAATACAAAGTTGGTTCGTTTTATTTGAATTTGTATTTCCGTATTTGTTTTTCTTTTTAGAATTTCTTGTAATTGCGTAGTTCTTGGTTAAATTTGATCGCTTTTGTAACTTATTCAATTTAGAGAAAATACGGTGTTAGAAGTATGACACATCTGGTCAAGTGTGCCTACTTTATTAATTCGTTTCCGACAAGAAGTGTTTCTCAGGCAAAAATTATTTAATTTTAAGTAAATGCACATTTGGTGCTGACAACGAAGACGCAGGTGATGCGAAGAATTGTGCGTTTTATATTGGAGAAGAGTGGACGTTTGGACTTTCCATTGTGATTGGCGATTTATTTGAAATTTCGTAATGGTAGAATCCTTAAATAGGGAGACAACGTGAAAACGAAGCTGCTAAGTTTCGAGACGGTTAAAGAGCGTGTAAATTTGTTTACGCCAAATTACAGGCAGTCCGCCCTTGTTTAATTGAAGACGCAGGTCATCATTTATTATAATAAATTTGTGTGTGTTTTCCGATTTCGTAAAGTTTTGGCGAGTTTAAGAAGTAATTTTGGTGGTGTTCTTGTTAAAATTTAAAGGTTTCTACTGGCCAAACAGCTATAGAAAATTGCCATGTAATTCATCAAACCAATTTTGTTTGGCATCTAATTCAGTGTTGTCGAGAACATTGAAGTTTCCTGAAGTTGTCAGAGAGTGTTTTTGTGTCAGTTTTAGTGCGCCAGATTATTGCGAAAAAACTATGTAATTTTAAAATTATTTACTTTAATTGTCAATCGTCGGCGTGCGGGGTAATATGTTCAAACTTTATAAGCTTTTCTTTCCTTCAAGGATTTTGTTTTATTTTTTTTTTATGTGTTTTGGAACACATTGTTATCATTGTCAATCAATTAATCGTGTTTATTTGAACCCATTGTGCGCCCCGATAGAGTTTCTATGTTAAATTTGTTTCTACTCATGCCAAAGATTTATTTCAAGTGTCAATTAAAATTTACTTTTGACGCAATGGGAGGAGGAGCTTCGTAAAATCCCCCCGCCCCATATTTTAAAAACTGATTTTTATGATTAAATGTTGAAACTCTTTCTAACTTTTATCAAGAGCTCTAGAACTTTATGGGCCTCTAATTATAATTGTAAAATGTTATAAATGAGGGGGCTCTGAGACAAATTGACAATAAAGAAATTAGATTACACCTGTCTTACATTTCAGTCACCCATTTTGGTTTTTTTTGTGGACTGGGGAATTGTAACCACTTCGTAATCGTTAAGTAAAGCCATGAAAGGGAGAATATTAAATGTATCTTCTGTGTGAAATGAATTACAAACTTTTCTTTAGTAAGTTTCTAAAACCGTATTAAAAAAATATACGAATCGAGATAATGAATTTGTCTAAGGTTTATTACAGATTCCTGTATAGTAACCTCGTTAGTAATTAAGTAACGTAAAAATTGACTCATATTTTTTGATGGTAGAGACAATTAGGTTTTACATGTGTTTTTAATGTAACTGTCTATGTAACCATACGAAAATCCTACAAATTTGGATAAATACACAATGATAAATTTGGAAAAAAACATGGTGGACATATAGCATATGGCTGCACTCTTTCTAGTCACAGTAGGTAGCACAGTCTACCAGTAACTCTGCACAGTCCTGAACATAGTGCCATGTACCGGGTGACCCAATAAGACTGTTCCTCGGCCATATCTCGAGAACCGTTCGTCATATGACTTAGGGGTAAAAAAAATTATTGGGTAAATCAGTCATGAAGAATCATTGGAAAATATTTTCAAGTTCTAAAAATGATCAACAGAGGGCGTAACTGCCATCTTAAATTTTAAAAGTGCATTTTCTTTAAATTTCGCATAATAAACTAAAAAAATTGTTTTCCAATTTTCAAAGAGAACCAGTTTATCTACCATTTTCGTAAAACCAAAAACTCAGTTAAGTATTTCAAAAACAAACATGGTGATGAATCGTTCAATTGTTTTTGCAATAACCTGCTTTAACTTCTTAATCGTTTGACCGATTTTAACAAATTTGGTATGGTTGAAAAGAACATTCCTTGGGCAATGAGAATCAACCAAAAATAGATAATTTAGTTGAACTCTTCTCCGCCAGGGGGCTAGTTTTGACACTATGACCCAAAATCTTAAAAAAATCAAATGAGATGATCCGACTTTTTCCATATGAAAAAGTATCCAAATAACATCCAAAGAGGCCAGTGAAAACCTTAATAAAATCTATACTTTGAACTTAGCTCGTAATAACGGCCAATAGCCTCAGCAGCTGACACCTGAGGAGGGGTTTTATTGGGTATACCAATATCCGGGGGAGTCCCACACTTTGTGCGTAAATGCATTTCCCCTCCTAAGAAAAAAAAAGCACCCTACACTTTTAGGTAGGCCTTGGAAAATTAAACAAATAAAACACGGTGCGTTATAAAATAATAACAGCCGTAATTTGTAAATTATTCTGCTGTGTCTACATTCAGAAAGTGCAGGTTTTTGAATTTGTAATCTTTTCTAAAATGCCGATTTCTAACCAAGAAGCATTTAATATGCTGGCGATATATTTTGAGTATTTTCAAAATGCGACCATCGCTGCCCGCATCTTCTATTTGCGTTATCCAAATCGAGCACAAACCATCGCCGCCAGCATATTAAATGCTTCTTGGTTAGAAATCGGCATTTTAGAAAAGATTACAAATTCAAAAAGTTTCACTTTCTGAATGTAAACACAGCAGAATAATTTACAAATTACGGCTGTTATTATTTTATAATGTATCGTGTTTCATTTGTGTAATTTTCCAAGGCCTACCTAAAAGTGTAGGGTCCTTTTCCAAACAATCTTTCGCGCCATCGACAAATACCGAAAATACGTCAAATAAGATACAATTTAAGCATTTTTATTAATTAATTAATTAATCTCATTTTGCCAATATTTGAGGTTAGGAACTATATTTTGAAAAAGGCTTTTCACTGGCCTCTTTGGGTGTTATTTGGCTACTTTTTCATAAAGAAAAAGTCATATCATTCCATTTGATTTTTTTAGGATTTTGGATGATAGTGTCAAAACGAGCCCCCTGGCGGAGAAGGAATCAACTAAATTAACTAAATTTTGGTTGATTCTTGTTATTATTTGTTATGTTAATTTGTTAAAATCGGTCAAACGGTTAAGAAGTTAAAGCAGGTTATTGCAAAAACAATTGAACGCCCCACACCATCTTTTTGTTTTTACGAAAGTAATAGATAAACTGGTTCTCTTTTAAAATGTGAAAAAAGAATGTTTAGTTTAATATACGAAATTTAAAATGTAATTTTAAAATCTAAGTTGGCAGTTACGCCCTCTGGTAGTCATTTTTAGAACTTGAAAATATTTTCCAGCGATTCTTCATAACCGATTTACCCAATAATTTTTTACCCCTAAGTCATACGACGAACGGTTCCTGAGATATGGCCGAGGAACATTCTTATTGGGTCACCCAGTAGAAGTATATGTTAAAATTTCGTAAGACATATTTTCCTAACCCATGGCAATACTTTAGATAAAGAGAAAGAACAAAGTTGTTTAAAAAGTTTTGAGTTTGAACATTCAGTTTAAACATACGCACTCCAAAATAAAAAAAACAGGTGTAAAATCCTAAACAAAAACAGAAATGGTAAAGTTTAAAATAGTTTGAACTTTGAACCCAATCTCTGAATGTCAATCCAAACTTTGAACTTTCGAGTTGAAACATCAAACTTTGAACTTTCTACCGTACTTACTCATGTTCAAACATATCCAAAAATATTTCTTCACTTTTATAAAAGTTCCTTAACAGAGCAGTACTTTGAGTCCTTGCCGCCTCGATGGAAGTTTTATGTAAATCGCTCATTACATTTTGACCATCGCACGTAACAAGCTGCAAGAGCAATTTCAGAGCCAGCTCCAGCGTGACCAAACGCACTCGGCACGACGGTTGGCACGATAATATCACAATATGCAATAACTTTTCCACTAAATGCGTATTATACGAATACTTAATATCTCTACCTACAGACTTTGACGGCGACATTCTCGGCTTCAACACTAACTCCAACAGATCTGGCAAAACTCCTAGAAATTAATCGTGCTTGAAACGAAACCCAAGCTTGTCCGTCTTTTACCTTTATTATTTGCCAGAGCGTACAGCAAGCATAAAGCGAAGAGCGCGGCGTAATCGTTGTCCGTACAGTCTAGCGAATTATATACAGTTTCGAGAAACGGTTTCTCCGATATGTTTGTACTTTCGGTCGGCGTCGACGCCAATTTCTCCTTCTCCTCGTCGGTCACGTTTTTCGGTTCTTCCAATAGATTCTCCTTCGAACCAGAGCTGCTCGCGTTCGACTCGATTTCGAGCTGACTGCTCTGCTCGCACTCGGTGAGCTCGAATTTACGTTTAAATATTTCGTAGTGTTCCGACAGTTTGTCTAAGCCCTGATCGAAGGTACTCCTTTCGGTTCGTAGGATGATCCAGGCAAGGTAACGTATTAACGGCGAGTGGGAGATTATTAAAAATACTTGGGAGAGGAGGAACAGTGAGACTACCGACGATACTTTCCCGTTTGCCGATTCCTGTTGTTCAAATGAAGATAGCGATTTATTTAGAACTCTTGCCAAATTTTGGGTTGCGGTTTCCATTGTCACCTCGGACTGTCTGCGAATGGACGATAACGAATAAATGTACAGAGGGATTAATAACTTATGGAGAAGATGGTCGGTTAGGACTTGATTCAAATCCGTTATTTTCAGTAGGAGAATGTCGTTCAGGTAGTGAAGGTGATCCAAGTGTTCCGCGACCAGATCAGACAGCCGATTCTGAGACTGGTGGCTGAAAACGCAAATAATAAATTATGCATCGCAGTAGTCATAGAGTAAATACAGTAAGAGTTCCAGGCACTTATTAATTTGTGGCCACCTTTCACACACCTCATAAGTAGATGGCGATGTAAGCGTGGGTAAATAGGGTAAATTAAAGTCACTAGATATTTATATTTATATTTAGTGACTTTAGGGTAAATTTTCATTCAGCGCCCCCTGTTATGTAGAACAGATCACTAAATTGGGTAGCTGAATTAGCGCGTTTATGAACCACTCAAAGTCGCGGCTTTACGAATTCATTTATAATGTCTGATTTTGAACTGATAAATTTACGTACACTCTCTGTAAATAAATCGAAGAATCACTTTTCTTTACTGCCCGACCTTTCAAGAGGATGCATTCCGAAAAAAAAATATATTGATTGTACTCTGTCGAATAATTTATTACCTACTTGCAATTCTATAAAATGTGCGAAACGAAATCCAATACGCAAACAACAATTAATAGCAGTATCGAAGGTTCATTAAATAAAAAATTTGTTGAGGGTTTCGACAAACTTATTGTCCCTATTTAAATTCGAGTGCATAAAGATTACAAGATTTGTACCGCACATTATACATAGGGGTTATTAATAAATTGATCGTTTGCTCGTTGGAAATTTCAAACCAATTTTTAAACTTCTCGCGTACCTACTTCCGATACAATTCCAAATAATCTTCATATCCGATTATACGCTTTGAACAAAGTCTATTTTCTGCAGTTGTAGAAAGATGAGGAGTGTACTTGTACCTACCAGACCGCATAATTAACAATTCTTTAGGGACGGGGTTACATGATGTGAGGTCGGCGACATCCGGGCGCCATCCCCGAGCGTGGTTTACTAACGGGGTGATTTTTAAATTTTTTCCTCGTTCTGCAGGAAAAACTGAAAAATCACCGTTAGTAAACCACGGTCGGGGATGGTGCCCGGATGTCACCAACCCCACATCATGTAGCCAGCTAGCGCGTCGGCCAAAGTGAGATTAAAAGTCACCGTTTTACAAATAAATTTGCAAAAACTGCGTTAAAAAGAGATAATTACCAAAAAGTTAAATCACTGTTTGTTGCTAAACAATGGCCATGACTGTTCTAAAACTGTCGTCTAAGTTCAAATGCAATATGGGCATAGCTTTAGCCATATAATACGCAATGCCAAAAGTTGAGTCGAATCGATTCAAAATTCACAGCGCCCTTTTTGCATCTCGACTAATTATAAACCGAATTGCAAACTTGTTTATTTATGGAAGCACTTAAATGAAATTTGATACATAACCACCTCAAACAAAGGAAAATCTAACGTTACTTTCAAAATTTAGGTTTGCGCATGCGCATTGTCAACTTTCTTATTTATGAAAGCATTGAAATGAAATTCATCTTATAAACTGAAATTGAAGTAGGACATCAAAATGGATTGCACATATGCAACGCTATCTTTCATATTTGTGGCCGGTTTTTTAGGATTTTAATAGAAGTTGCATCTGACAAATGAGAAATGAATGCAAGTGGAAATGCGCTTTTTATAAATGGTTTACGATTACTTTTTTAACTTGTATTGAGTGGGCGGGGTTTCAGCTAAGGCTGCTCTACCAATCCGAAATCGAACCAGGGACCCTTAGTACCGCAGTCCAGCTTCAACTCAACTGCGACACACGGGCGGGCTTAAGAATGATGTTATTGTTTGTAAAAATATCCAATCACATGACAACATAGTTGGTGTATGGCTTTATAATACGGGCCGATAATCATTTTGAAATTAATAATTCTGTGGTTTTCCCTGTATTTCTTACCCGAAGTTTTAAAGTTTCAAATGAGCACATGCCCAAAAATAAGTTACAACAAACAACTTTTTTTTAAATGAAAATACATTTTTATTTTCCTTTTGGAATTTTACATAGTATTTCATGTACAGGGTGTCCCATTTTCGACACTTTTATAGGCGTTATGGGCTCTTTTTGGGTCAAACTTGCAATGGTAAAATCAAAATTTGCACATTTTTGCTTCAGAGATATGGAGATAAACAATTTTCAATTTCAGAATGACCGTAAATGTTTCTTGAAAATTATTGATAAATAATCTGCCGTTTTCTAAATAAATAATTATACAGTACTATCGGGTAAAAAAGTTATTGGATCTAACTTAATTTTATTTAAATGGCATACCCTGTATATTTCAATCTAAAAATAGCATATTAAATTCTGTTTTTTAAATATAACACTGAAAAAATTCACTATCGATTCAAAAAAGATTTCTTAAAAATTCAAAAATTCGTTTGTAGTAATTTCGAATTTTTTCAGTGTAAGAAAAAAGGGCGATAGTTGGTAGAAAACAGTTCCTTTTGTTGAGACCTTTAATTAGAATACCACGAATGGGTAAAAGTGTGGTTGCCCCCCCCTCGCCTTTCCCATTTTCAAAAGTTTTACTTGCCACTAAAGGCGCATGTAAAATGGTATTAGACTCTATTAGTGTGACGTCAAATTTGAGCGGGAAATTCGAAATGCTGGACTTGGCTGTTTTACTGTCGAAGATATTGACCCTTATCGCCCCAGACGTTTAAGTATCACTTTTAAATAGGCCCTCTTTACGGGCTTATACTGACCTTATGCGCATTAAATAAGCATATCGACCCTTTTATATCGAAACACTGATTACTTAACTTTAAAACAGAGCAATAATCGTTAAATAAAATCCATTAATTGCGTTATAATTAAAAATTAAAGATATGTCTACCATATTTACACTTTACGGTTGGCAATATGGAATGATCATGACCTTGTTCTTGTGTTTACATTTTCCCAATTGCTAGACTTGGTCGTTTACTTGCCTTTAAAGTGTGTTTTTTGAATTTGTTTTAAGTACTCGTAGTTTTCAATAGTCCTAGGTGTTTTTAGCGCATTTTTTAAGAATTAAAAAAATGTGCTATTGTTTGTATTTTGTCCGTCCGTCCCTCCGGACCCACTTCTACCGTTTTGAACTACTTCTAGGGAAAGGTCCTAGAGAGTAAATGTCGTAAATTGTTCCATTGCTGAAACCAAATAAGTACGTTGGTTGGGCGTTTGTTGAACTGTATTTCGATTAAAATTGTATTTATGTCTTAAAACGTAGAGAAAAATTTTAATGCAACTCTAAAGAGTCTAAAGTGTGAGAGTGAAGGAACTACGTACATTTTTCTAAACTAGATTTATGAGAACGAATTTCGTAATTAGGCGCTCCTCGACTAACTATAGCGCCATCTCAGAACGAAGGGACCGCATATCGACACACTAATGAACGTACGATTTTCTATTTTTACGGTTAGTTACACCCCTTTAAAAGCAGATGACAGCATCTCCTGAGCGAAAATTAACAAAGCCAGTTTATCGTATTTGTTTGTAACTCTTATTGTATTTCCTCTATGCAGTAGTGCACTTACTCTGCGTCGTTCCGAACACACGCATCCAACTCGTGAATATGTTTACCAATAAACCACACGATGTTCGAAAAGTAGGGAGCGGCGGTCCTATCACGAATAAACGCCAACATGCTCGCATCTTCCACTTTATATACATTGAGTGTAAGTGTTCGAACGGCAATTCTCACCATGGATTCGGGATGATTAAAAAACTTAATAGCCTCGGTGTATAAGGGAAAATCGTTAGTGTGCTGGAAAAATCAGTGTAAAAACAAGCAGAGCTGTAACAGTCACCTACCTCGTTATAAAAAAAGTGAATTGTATGAGGGTTCAATTTCAAACTTAGCGTTTTGAGAAACGAAATATAATACGCCATAACTTCCTCGTCAGAGAAATCAAACTTGTGAACAATAATAGAGTTTACGTGATTATTTGAAAGAAGATAATCTGAAAAATTCTTCAATTACCCACAGTCACCCACCTACAACACTTACACAGTGAAGTCTCATTACGTATGTTTTCAAAAAGAATATTTAAAGTCTGTAACAGCTGAACACATACATAACTGGAACCGCCACTTCTTTGCCTCATTATCCGAAGAAAGAAAGACAGCATGTTCTTCTCCAGAAAGAAACTGAAACAAATCACTACAAATAACGGGCTAATTAAAGAATAATTGATCGTACTCGAACACTGAGGAATCATTTTGATCGCCCCATATTAGTATTTCAGCTATCGATCGAAGGGTTTCCACAAGTAACCCGCGATTATGCTCGGATACCGTCTGATTTCTGGAGAGCACATTGTAGAGATATTTTAGGTGCTCTAAAGAATGCGGGTTCTTGGGGCGTCCCCAAGCGGCACCGAACCAACTTCTACTTCGAAACATGCTCTTTCGGGTGCTCCTTTCGAAAAATTGACGTTCTGTACCTCATTGGTCAAATGAAACCTCTCCGTTTGGGTAAACTAATAGGAATTTTCTGAAATTACTTAACATATTTTTGAGACGTAATTAATAATTGTCTCTTGTGTTACGGGACTTTTAATTTTGTGTTGTGGATGTAATTATAAATTACTTGACAATTGACAACACGCACATGTCATTTCCCTTGGTACGATAATCCCGTCCGTTCAAAAGTTTTATCGTTAAACAAAGAAACGTTGCCAGATATTCAAATTTAAATAGCTCCTATTATTATTCCATATTGCCGAGGACCATTGAATTTATATTCAATGCAAAGACGTTAAAAATACCTTTAACGTCCTTGGATATTGCGCATGTAGGCAAAGTTATGGCAGACGTCACGCGGAGATTTTCAAATTAAATTTAATTATACGTCAGTGGAGATTTTGGTGCTTTTTTTTGGAATTTGTGAATTAGTTTTTAACAAAGTTCGGTGGTCTGTGATTGGATGTACCACAGATAATGGATCAAACCAAACTTTTAAGAAACGCTAAGATGTTTTGAGAGTAGTGAGAAATTAAATTAAAGCAAACATAAACCGTCAAGAATTAATTTCTGGCATGGCGATTGATGCAGGTATGACGACACTATTAGGATCTTATTTTTGCAAGTTTGAATTGTTTAACAATTAGACAGAAGCTAGGGTACGACCATGATAGTTCCTAGTTCGAATCCGAGTTGGGGCATGGAAGTGTTCTAAAAGCGTTACAGTATATAGCATTATTCAATGATATAACTCTCGCCAAGAAAGATTGCCGGTCACAGCACACATTGTGTCGATCTACAATCTATGTTTTTCTTAAGATGCGAGCGACTTCTGGAATAGGATCGTGCCAATGTTGAACGAAAAGTCTTTTTGTCAAGTGTTCTGTGACCGACAATCTTTCCTGGCGAGAGGTTTAGTACCTTTGGATGGGCAAAAACCAGAAACTTAAAGAATGGAGGCATCATATCATCGTTCTTTCTCCGAGAATTTTAATTTTAACCTACTTATCCGAGGAATTATATAAAAATAAGATCCACATTGTCTCCAAAACTATCCAGAAACAAAATCCTTTGGGGAAAATTTACTCGTCAGGTTGAGAGGTTCGATACATACATTTTTGAGAGTTGGCAACCATGCAATTTCTAGGTGGGAAAAAGCTGCCTGCGCGATCTAAAAAGCAAGAACGTTGGTTACGTTGGGCATCTTGTCTTGAATGGCAGTCGTGAACGCATCGCTCCATAAATGTTTGCTATTATTTTGTGTTATTTAATTTAGGTAGCAATTTTTGCATTTCTTTATATCGTATTTGTGTTTTGTATGCCGCATTTTATATTTTTTGTGTGTTTCAATCTTTGTTTTTTTAAATTTACTTGATTTAACCGTACTGCAGAATCAGGTTTAATACCGTTATGCTATTGTTTGTAATTGTTTACGTTTTTGGTGTAATGCTTGCTTAATTTATGTTTATTGATGTTGATTACTTGGTTTTGTCCCTGAGGTACCATTCATATAAATCTTGATCATTTTATTTTAATATGTGGAAATTACCGATTCGTTTGATGTTTGTACTGACTTTTGTTGTTTGTAACTAACATTTTCTCCGTGAATGAAGCTGTCACGGGGATGGTAAAAACTGTAGTCAAAATTGAGCTACGACACCTAATTCCGTGATTGTCTTCGACATTCAACTGTAGGCTCGAAATCCCGAACGAGGGGCGACGCTACCTATCTTGCGGGGACGAAATTACGCTAATAAAAGCTCTTCAGTTTAGAATCTATGTGCGATAAATGAGTGGGGATTCAATAATTTCCACATATCTTGTTTTTAGTTAAATTTGCCTGCAAAACCATGTAATTTTCCAACTTGCTTTTAACAAAAGGACTTTATTGCACCAAAGATGGGTCACATCCTTTGTATTTCACCCTTTCTTAGAATCTTTGTACAACCTGCTTACCTGACCCATAATTCCCAAAACTTGTTTTTAACCTATATGTTACCTCTTGAAGTTTGCCTTTACCTGTTACTTTTGTGATGTTATAATTTTATGTTATGCATTCACATCATTACAAAGAATTAATTTTACAACACAATTTAATATGAATTTGACACTGTTTTTTTTATTGGTAAGTGCTTTTTTTCCCAGCCTATTCCTATTTTTATTCGATGAACTACCATTTTCAAAGTTTATTTTTGCGATGTAATTTATTTCGACTTAAATTTCCGAGCTTTTACAATCAATAATAATTGCGATCATTATTAAACAAACTGTTCACAATTTCAGTGTTTTATTTTACGTTCCTTCCCTACTGTGCTTCTGGTCATAGCGTTGTTTACAACTAACGTAAGGGGGCTCTGCCTTAGATGTTTTATCACGTGCCACTTTTCAAATTTAAGCGAGATCTTGTTTAGTTTTGGAGGGAATAGTCATTAGGCGCTTTCTTTCGCCTACTTCGCAATCATGATTTCTAGATCGTGATTAGTAGGATCACGTTTTACGAAAGAACGCGCGAATTTAAATCAAAGTATGGTTAAGTTTACGTAGTGTACATTTGCATTCGAATTATGTATTTTTTGTTTGGATTATGAAAATAATTTAAATACAAGTGGAAGTACTTGCACGATTATGCTCCGCTTCAGTTACAATATTGACTAATCTTTGAGCAAAAATATCCTTGCATTTATAGGTGGAATTCGTGACAAAAAAATTTTATGTTCAGTTTGTTCACGATTTTAGCAATCATTATTATAAGATCACACTCCGAAAGAACGTGATTTGACAATCCAAACGCGTTTGGATCACCGAAAGAAAGCGCCTATTCGGGTGGCCATTTTTGAACGTTGCCGGGTTGATTTTATTTCCGTGTTCTCTTGTAGTGTGAAGTTAGCGTAGAACCTGGGAGTTAAATACACTACAGTTATATCTAATTTAATATGATTATACAAGATCAACTTCATGGAACTCTACTTTATGATGCTCTTGAGACTCGAGATCGTTCTAAAAACAAAATATGTAGCAATTTATTACTATTCAATTAGTGTTATCTGCTAAATATAAAGTGCAAACTGCCACACGCTTTAAACCTTTTCGTGTTTCTGTTCTGGTTCTAAAGCGCAGCCAGAAAAATGACGTTCACAAACCAAAAACTTTTGTGTAAATTTCTTCCACATTATATATTCTAAACCAATTCTTAAAAACTGCGGGTTCCATTTTTGGGAAACGTCTTCACAATTTGTCACACAACATTTACGTTTTCGACTTGTATATTATGCATAATTCATTGTAATAATGAGTCGTAATTATACTTAAAGCACAATAATAAGCCGTCAATCAAAATTCAAAAGTCATAATGGCGCACACGCACTAAAGTCACTAGAATTAGTTCACTTCACCATCCCTATAGGTCCTTGATCCACCACTGCTTTTAAATCAATGACATTTGGTATGTTATCAACCTTATGAATGTTTAGTTATGCGGGAAATTCAAACTGTTGGCAGTCATTTTAGATCACCCGGTATTTATTATTATTGTATTGTAATGGTTGAACAAAGAGTACAATAGATTACTTCCATTTAACAAAAAGAAAAATCAAAAACTTGGTTGAATGCTACCAAATTAAATTCTAACCTTAACCTCGAAAAGAAAAATTATTGTGGTTTTAACCTTACTTTATTTATTTATGTTAAAATGAAAATTTTAGAATTATATAGTGGTATCGGTGGCATGCACTTCAGCTTTAAAGGCATTTACAATAATAAAACGATGTTAGGGTAATGCTCAAACGATTTGTTTTAGAGAGTGGACTGGAGGGTGAAGTTATCGCCTCGGTCGACATAAACCAAACTGCCAATTTAGTATACGGTCACAACTTTAAAGATACCTTGCTACTAAACCGAAACATTCAAAGTTTAACTTTCGAGTACATTAACAGTTTGGAAGTCGATACAATCTTGATGTCACCGCCCTGTCAACCGTTCACCCGGAATGGCTTGCAACGCGACGTCAACGATGCACGTACTATCTCGTTTATGCATATTATCAATATTTTACAAGAACTAAATATAAGAAATATACTGATGGAGAATGTCAAAGGTTTCGAAAGTTCCGATATGAGAGATCTTTTTATTGGCAAATTAAAGGAGTGTAACTTTCAGTATCAAGAATTCCTTTTAAGCCCTACGCAGTTTGGCATTCCGAACACAAGGTGCCGGTATTATTGCCTCGCCAAAAAACAGCCCGCTAAATTGTGCTTCGAATGCGGACCTTTGGTACGTAATGTCTCTTTCTGTATATTTTTATAATCGTGTATGTAGATGACGCATCATCCCACAAAGACCGCCGAGACGCCTTATGTATTATCGGAAATTGTGGACAATGGTAATGTCGAGAGGTATTTGTTATCGGATACCGATTTATTAAAACGTGCCATAGCTTTAGACATTTGTTTTAAGACTTGCACGCGAAGTTGTTGTTTTACCAAGTCATACGGACGGTATGTAACAGGTACAGGTAGTGTGTATACAGATAAAACTAAGCAGGAATTGGATTACGTTTATAGAAGCTTAGATTCTCTTAAAGGTGATCGTGAAGGGTATTTGAGTTGTATTAGGCAATTACGATTAAGATTTTTTACACCTAAAGAAGTATGTAGATTAATGAGTTTTCCAGACACGTTCGAATTTCCTTCGACCGTTACTGATAAACAAAAGTATATGTTGCTTGGTAATAGCATTAATGTGCGTGTTGTTAGTGAATTAATAAAACTTTTAAATGATCCGTCGTAATGTATGCACTAATTTATTTTTTTTAATTGCTACGGAAGTCCAGTAATATTAAAATTGTATGTACAGTGCTCTCGTGCTAAATTCACAGTTCAATAAAACAAAGGAATGTAAAACGGGTATTCACAATGATGCGCCTATAATGTCTGTAGGTCTGGAGGTATTGGTATTTTATTATTCAACGCGAACTTTTTTAAGGCCTCGAATCGATTTTTGAGTATATTAACTTCGTTTTTCATCTCTTGCAGATCGTCGTGCATTACCTCGATGTCTTTCCACTCTTGCGTCTTTTCCGTTTCCAACTCGTCCTTTTGCTCTATACGTTTGATCCTACACGATGCAGCGTAACCACGATTCTTTAACGTTCGTCTTCGTTGTTTCATACGAACAATTTCTTCCCTCGTCAGACCTCTCAGCTTGAGTTGCCTGTTCAAATCGCGTACGGAGATTGTAACGAGCTCGTCATCCGAAATGTCAAGTACGGGTCCGGGTGACAAGGGCGGCTAAAACAGGTTGCGCAAAATAAAGGGCGTACTTAACCTATAATTTTTCTTACTAATATTTTTCGTTCTTTGCGATGATCGTGGGGCATTTTTACAACGCTTATAGCTTTCTTATTAATCAATTTCTGTAGAAATTCGATGGAAAAAGTTAAAATTGCAAGTCATACTTATTCTTATTATTATATTAACTATTTCACAAATTTTGTTTTGTTTTCCTGCCCGTTACAGTGAGATGTTTTTAGGATGGCCGCTATACGATGCAGGGTCGGATTAGTTTATTTTTTCTTTTGTTCTATCATTGAATTTATAGAAATTCAATGGTTCTATATATACCGAAATTGTAATTACCGAGGCACGTGGCGCAGTGGATGCGCTCACCGATGCTATTCGGAAGGTTGTGGGTTCGAATCCCGCTGCCGACTGCTCTGTCTGGGGTTTTGTCAGGGGGTTTTCCTCAGACATACGTAGCTTCGCATAATGCTAGCATTATGTTGAAATCTACGAGGCAAATGCTGGAGCAGTACTCTCCCCCTCAGCACCCTAACTCCGTTCCTTCCGTTCCCATCCCTAACTTTACCCATCCTAACAATCCCGTTCTCTGGCTGAAGAGGGCCAGGAAGCCCTGAGCAGCCCGCCTCCGGTATCCCTGTAGTCAGGGGTGCCGGAGGAATGAAACGCGTTGGCCTTTTTTTTTTTCCTTTACCCTCTTGTCATTATTTGACATATAAATCATATAAACTTTACTCGGAATTCTAAGTACTCGATAGCGTAATAAAAAATAGGTACTATATGTCCCCAAATGACCACGTTACAGGTAAACTAACCCTGGTTTTATTATTATCTTGACCTATACGTTGAAGTTTTAATAATCTAAGGCTCTACTAGATTTGGAAACTTAATTGGAGTGATCGAGCGATTCAATCATGCAGGGCAGGATTGGACCATTTACCAGGAGAGGCTCGAGCAATTCTTATACAGCATCTTGTATCACAAGCATCACGATAATAAACTGAAAAAATGGGAGTAGGTTCATGAACTGAAACTCTAATCTGATAATAAATAATCCAATTAATTCCAAAACTAAAGAACTTTTCCCCAATGAAGGTTGGTTAAAAATAAAAAAAATAGGAATCTTAATTTACTACTTGAAATTCTTTCCACGCCACCCTAATAATTTATTTTTTTTAATTGATAACAAAATACAAACGAAATCACAATAGGTACCTTTTTTAATCCGGATTATTGAGAATTATCGTCGAGATCCAGAGATTCATATGCAGTAAATTCCCCTAGGGTAAGGTCACAGCTCTGGTATTTGTAGTTTCTTTCTTTACGGGCAATGGAAAAAACTCCTATATGTTATTTTGACAATTGGAAACTCAATTTATTCGTCCCATATTAAATAGATTTCATACAGTACTTAACAGTTACATGTTATTTACCACTCACTCGGACACAATTTATCACATGTGAATTTATCGCATACGAGTGCGAACACTAATAATCACCTCGGATTGAAGCTAGAAGAATCATTAAACACAATTCGTTTTGCTCATATAGCAAACGGAATCTTTTTAGAAAAATCACTACTTGCGAAATCGGCATGTCGCATTCTCGAAAATAACAATTCACATTCGCTTTCGTTCTTCATCGCCGATGAGTAATCTTTTATGGCGTCTCGGTGGCGGGTGCTGGCGCCCCTATGTCTGGATTTATAGAATATTCGCTGTAATACTGTCCTCTATGGCTAACGATGCAACTCTCGCTCGTTAAGCGGTAGCTGCTAAACCAAAACGGAACCGCCGCAACTTTTGCGACCAGCGTCTCCTTTTCACCAATCGGAAGCGTTCAATCTTATCTATTTACGTTCTCAATGCACTCATGTAGACGGAGCAAACGCAAAGTTGATGCTGGGGCGGACTCCCGTTACAACGGAAATTGGAAGATTTTTATTCTTGTTATTGAGATGTAAGATTATTTTTATTTTAACGATATTTTGCGCGTCATTTGAATTTATACACTTGAATAAGCTCGTAAACCATACCTTCGGCTTTCTGTTAAATTTTTCCCCTAAGGAAAATCTCTGTTTCGGCGGCTGCTCGGAAAAGTCGAAGGACTTTCCGCCGTTGCTGTATACAGAGCATTGCCGTGTTGGTAGTGGCTGGTAGAAATTACTATGGAAACAATTGTGACAATAATTGTTATAATAGCAAAATCTAACAAACCCATTTGCTCCGGTTGAATTTTTCGCAAAACACCTCTCTATGGCACTGATTATTACCCTTCGACTAATCTAATTGAGTGACTCAATTCTAACGGCTTTCGCCTGGTCGTCGTGGTAAGTACCGGGTGATCCAATAAGTGTTCCTCGGCCATATCTCGGGAACCGTTTGTTGTATGACTTAGGGGTAAAAAATTATTGGGTAAATCGGTTATGAAGAATCGCTGGAAAATATTTTCAAGTTCTAAAAATGAACCAGAGGGCGTAACTGCCATCTTAAATCTTAAAATTGCATTTTCTTTCAATTTCGCATAATGAACTAAACAGTCTTTTTTTACATTTTTAAAGAGAACCAGTTAATCTATCATTTTCGTAAAAACAAAAACTCAGTTGTTTCAAAAACAAAGATGCTGTGGGGCATTCAATTGTTTTTGCAATAACTTTCTTCAACTTCTTAACCGTTTGACCGATTGTAACAAATTTGGTATCGTTGAAAAGAGCATTCCTTGGGCAATAAGAATCAAGTTAATTTAGTTGAATCCTTCTCCGCGAGGGGGCTAGTTTTGACACTATCCAAAATTCTAAAAAAATCAAATAGAAGGATAGCCAAATAACATCCAAACAGACCAGTAAAAACCGTTTTTCAAATTCTCGTTCCTAATCTCAAATATTGGGAAAATGAGATTAATTAATTAATAAAAATGCTTAAATTGTATTTGGAAAAGCACCCTACACTTTTAGGTAGGCCTTGGAAAATTAAACAAATGAAACACGATGCATTATAAAATCATACCAGCCGTAATTTGTAAACTATTCTGCTATGTTTACATTCAGAAAGTGTAGTTTTTTGAATTTGATGGTTCGTGGTTGATTTGGATAACGCAAATAGAAGATGCGGGCAGCGATGGTCGCATTTTGAAAACATTCAAAATATCGCCAGCATTTAATAAAATACTTCTTGGTTAGAAAAAAATTGTAGTTTATTAGGTATGCGAATTGAAAGACAATGCAATTTTAAAATTTAAGATGGCAGTTACGCCCTCTGGTTGACATTTTTAGAACTTGAAAATATTTTCCAGCGATTCTTCATAACCGATTTACCCAATAATTTTTTTACCCCTAAGTCATACGACGAACGGTCCCCGAGATACGGCCGAGGAACAGTCCTATTGGGTCACCCGATGCAAAGCACAACCAGGGCTTCATCTATATTCATCCTATCCACCAATTATCCATCTTCGAATAAGTTATCCGTTATCTACTGAACAACCAAAATATCAACGTATTGTTACTTTGTAACGTGAACTCTTTATTTGATTCGAATTTTACTTACATTTTTTCGATTTTGTATGTGGGCGAGCGGTTTCTTAATACCGTCCTGACTGTTTAAATACGTATGAAAGCTTAAGACGCCGGAAAGTCGTAGGACAGGACCAGTTTAACTAAAATTATGGAGCGAATTTGAAAATATCACACCCGTCGTTATCAAGTTTGCCGTGCAGCGTTGGTTTTGCGGGAAATTGGTCAACGTGGAGTAAACTTATGTGTGTCACTGTCGAGTAATCTGATTGGTTAGAAAAAATGAGTTTTATTTTTATTGCTGTCGACTGTGTAAGTCACGGAATAGACGTGTAAGTTGGTCGCCTGTGAAATACAGTACCATTTATATTAAAATATTCGTGCGACCACCTATAATTTATCAGAGATTTTCATTATTGTTGGTGGTTATTGGCGAAAAGGTTGCGTGCGCCGCTAGTGGCGTACGTTTAAAACGCGTGAATCTAAATTTCGTCACCTTCAATTTCAAAGGATAACTTGCGAAGAAATAATTACGGTAAATACGAACAATGGTGGAAATCTTTAAATGCGTGTTAATTTCCCTTTCGAGAAACTAGAATCAAAATTCACAAACTCGGTTATTAAATAATTATGCAATTAAACATTCAGATTCAACTTAGGCACGACCATACGACACCATTTCTTAGCCGTAACTCTCTTACCAACCTCAACTAGAATTCAAAGAGAATAAACCATAGATCCTGTCAACTCTCGGCCCTCCTGACAATGTCTTAACAGATTATCATTAAATTTACGGGGCATTTTCCGCAGACGTTTTACGTTTACCTCACTGTCACTCACAAGAGGCTCTTTATTGTTCTTGCGGCTCGTCCTCGCAAGATTCTCCCTGGATTGTCGTTTGGCCTTTCTCTGATCGAGAATCATCTTCGTCCTCGGATGCGCTTTCTCCTTCGTCAGCTGACTGATCTGGGCTATTGTATTTCAGCACAACGTTCATTTCTGGGTCGACTCTTTACCTGCAGTTGTCCTGTGTATGTAATTTGAAAGACGCATTACAATCTTTCGGACGCGAACATTCATTGGCATATCACGAACGCGAACTTCACTATTGATCACTTCGGCATTGCTGTTGGATCTTAAATTAAGCACAATTCAATCTACTTATATAGCAAACAAAACGCTTCTAGAAAATTCTCGTATCAGCATAACATATGTCATGGAAAGAATACGTACATCCGCTCCCATTCCTTATCGCCGGTTATCAACTTGATGGCGCCTTGATATCGCTCTAGAAAATTCGTTACAATTTTTATTTTTAGACGCTTTCCCATTCGTTACCATTTCTTTCAAGCTAGTGACTACTTGTGAGTTGTTGTGTTTCAGTATGTAATAATTGTAGAATGCAGCAGTTTTATTCAAAAATACAAGAAGTAATAATTATACAAAATCATACTTGAGACGCGACGCCTACGAGTAAACGCGACGCTTACACCCGTAATCGTACAAAACTGGAAAGTAAAAATCCCTAGTTCTAAACTAAGCAGTGGCGTAACATGAGTGTATGTTTTTTTTGATAGAAAACATCACGACTTGTTTCTGCTGAGAGTGTAAATATAAAATATGTATCAGATAAATAAAAGGAATAATGTGTTTATTGATGATTAAGAGGTTTCCACTTTCAGAACACGTAATTTGCCTTGGTCGACTAAAATGCAGGCCGCCTCGTTTGTTCCTCCACAATATTTAGCAGACGAGAAAACGGTCAACACCTTCCCTTTTTGAATTACCTGAAAATGTCCACGTTGACACCGAGATAATTCAACTTCTACGTACGTTAAAGCCGGCAACGGCAACTTCGTGCGCTCGTATTAGGTGTGACAGGCCATTCGTGTTGAGAAATCGCTCTAGAGCTTCAACACTAAAAACATGGCCGGTGCCGCGTCTTGTGTTGGCTGCAAATCCATCGTTCGCTTGTAATTCGAGCATGAGTTCGTCCGAAGCTTGCTTGTTTCTTTAGAAAGGAACATAAGTAGGATGAAACCGACTGAAAATGTTTCTTACCGGATAGGATCATTCCACATCAGTTCCCACGCCAACGAACTTTGTTCGTCAGGGTTCCCTAGCGGGCACGGTATCGAGTTGATTGTTATAATCGTCGGGCAAAGCCAAGGCGGCGGTATTCCTCCGTGGCAACAAAAAATCTTTCCGTCAATATTGGCCGCTAGGGGTAGAGCATCAAACGCGTTATTGATGGCGCTCCACACTTCACTTCCCATTTTATCCCCAAACTTTAGGAGGCACTCCCTAAAACGATGTCGTTTAAGTAGTGGAAAAAAGGTAACCTAGCTCTACGTATGAAAGGTGAACTGTTTTTGAATCTCCCGAATTTCGTGATTGCCCCTAAGCAGCATCAGCTTGCGCGGAGCCTGCACTTTGTAAGCAAACAAGTAAGCGATCACTTCCATTCCGTGAGGTCCTCTGTCGACATAGTCGCCCAAAAATATAATGTTCGAAGGACACAGCCCGGGTCCTAAGTGCCACAAAATTCTTTCAAAATTCAGCAAACTGGTAAAATTTCCATGGAGGTCGCCTAAGACATACGCTGGCGCCTGTATGTTAACCATTCGGTCTTCTCCCTTTAAAATCTCACGCACTTGTGAGCAAAGCGTAATCAGGCCTTTCCCGAAAGCAACACTATTAACTTGGCCCCACTCGTACAATGACACCTCCCTCTTTTTGCCGCCCTTGGTGGGAGGTTTCAAGTTTTTATTTCCCTGCATGAGAATACGTAGGTTAGTTAAAATTTCGTTAGGCAAAGAGATTTGGGCAAATAAATCTTGAGATAGCCTTTTAGATTCCGTGGAAGGTTGTTGAGTGCTGGACGGTGAGGAGATGCCGGCTATTTCGCTCATTTGCTCAACGCTGATCAACGTGCCACTCCTCTGCAACTTGACAATGTGCGATCCTAAGGAGTACTCTTCCACTTTTGTTGCGGCTCTCAGTGTGGGCCCTAATAAGATTTGCGTGCTGGTGTTATACTAGGATCCGTGAAGTTAGCAGAACATTGACGGCACAAATGTCGAGACTAGGTGGATTGGTTAGTGCTTCGTTTGTGCCGGTTTGTGCTGTAAAAAGTTTGCCAGCAAAACAGCCGTTTGGAAATTATTTCGATTTTTAGATGTTCTGCTAATAGGCCAGTCATTGAGGATTTTTACCTGGAAATAACTCGGGAAGGACTGAAATTTTGTATGCTTGAGTGCGTAGAACTAAAATTCATAAAATGCACAATTCGAAACTTGCCGCCGGGGCCGCCATCTTTCCAAGATGGCCGTCAAAATCGGTTTTCCGCCGATATCTCCAAAACTGTGCATTTTACGAGAAAATATGTGGTGAGCAAAATTAAATTACAAAATTTCCTACAAAAAATGTATTTTCTCCGAGGGGTGCGCAAGTAGAATGCAAAACGTACACCATAATTAAATATCCTGGTATTTAAAACAATAAATTTGTATTTAAAGTAATTAAATTATATTTAAAGAATATTTAAATATTTAATAAGAATTTAAAATTATTTCTGATATTCAAAGTATTTAAAGGATATTGAAAAGTACTAAATCGTATTTAAGGAAATTAAAAGGTATTTAAATAATTAAAAGTCACTGAAATGGATTTAATATGTACTTAAATGTACATGCTAGGGTATACACTATCTGTAACTTCAAGGAATATTACCATAGTACAACAAGGGTAAACCAATTACAGGGCATTTCGCCAGACACGGCATCAATTTTGACCGAGATTTTGACCGACAACTTTGAAAGTAACTACCTTTTAACATCAAAAGTGTGCGCAAAGTGTTGAAAACTTTAATGTAAAACATTCTTCATCCCACAGTTATGGCATCAAAATGTGCTTAATAAATTGGATTACCTTATTTCATGCTTCGTTGTACCATGCAATATTTAAAATAGAAACATTTTTTAAGTATCGTGATCTACATAACTTACATTTTAGTAAACATTATATCCCGCAAACGATACATTAAAAGTGAAAAACAATAAACGATTATTTTTAAAATTAAAATTTGGTTGGGGAATCTGCTTGATTACATCCTTCTTATTCACAACAGCAATATCTTCCTTCTCTGGCCATTTGAATTTATTATCAGAGTATTTTTTACAAAACTTTATTGTCAGTTCACTTTTATTAATTTTTAAAATCTGTCCAATAAAGTGCTTAAAACATTTTTTGCCTGGCAACTTTACCAGAATCCAGTCACCATTTGTTAATACATTTGTACTTTCTAAATCATCATCGTTGTCGTCATGTTGTTCTTCCCATTGGTCATCGGATGAACCTGACTTAAAGCTTTCTTCATCTTCCGTATCTGTTTCGCTAATAGTTACTGTTTTTTTCTTAGTTCGATTGCTTCTAACTTTTACACCCGAACTTGAACTAACATTCGTTTTTACATCTCTTACTCTTTGTATTCTGTCAGAACTTAGCTTTCTTTCTGGGTTGATTAAAAACCACAACAATGTAGATTTTTTAATTTTAACTTCTTTTTTGTTACTTCCGAGGTTACTTCCCTTTAGGACAACATATTGACTATTTTCTGAAATTACTTCTTCATTATTTCTTATGTAATCAGGTAAGCTTACAAGAAAATTGTCGTCAATATCTATTTGGTCCTTATCATCTTCATACTCGTCTTCAAAACACTGACTACTTTGCTGCTCTATTTGCTTGGTTCCATCATCTTCTAAAATATTAAAAGTTAAATTAGGCTTAAAAGTTGTTTATTAGGTACCTGATGTTTCTTCTACAACTTCTTCCACGAGTTCTTCCATCATCTCTTCGTCGCTTGGGCTCTCCTCGATATATTCACCATCGATATTGGGTACGGAGCAATTATTATTATGATTATGCTTGTACACTGAAATTTCGAATAATGAAGTAAACTTTTGCCGTTCGGGGCGAACAACGTCTTCGCAAAACTTCGTTAGCTCACGCAAAACTTCGTTAGTTCTTTTCATATTGAAATATTGAAAAAGTATTTAAACGCATTTAAAACTATTTAATGATACTCAAAGGTATTCAAAGAACATTTAAAGAATAAATTCTATAATTAATAGAATTAATTCTATAATTAATAGAATTAAAAGTATTTAAACAATTTAAAGTATTTAAGGGTAATTAACAATCCAATTAAGTTGTATTTAAAGGGAAAGTGTACACCATAATTAAAGGTTTGCGCGCCCCTCATTTTCTCTAAAGTTAGTCCTTACGCAGAAAAGCAGAATTTTTTAATAACCAGTGGCGTATATTTGATCCAAATAATTAATTAATCAAATTGATTAATCAATTAGTCTATGATCAATTAGTTTTAAGTAACATTAGATTCTCTATTTACGCAGGCCTGACGGACCTGGCGTTGCGTTAATGTCACTGTTTTCAATGCCGAATACGTTTATCCCTATTTCGGGATCAACGTCGGCTTCTTTGAATTCGTCGGATTCTCTCCGTCTTCAGTCGCTAAAGGAATATCGATACATATTACACAAATTCCGTTTGTGCCGGTTTGTGCTGTATTAAGTTTACCAAGAAAATATACCCTTTGGAAGTTTTTTTAGATGTCTGTAGATGTTTGCTATAACTTCGCACACTTTTGTCGGCACAAATTTCGAGACTAGATGGATTGCTTAATGCTACGTTTGTGCCGGTTTGTGCGATAAAAAGTTTGCCAGCAAAGCATTGCCTTTGAAGGTTATCTCAATTTTTAGGTGTTCTGGAAATCTCGTACACCATACTGTTGAAACTAAGTAGGTATACCTAATGTTAATGTCGCGCATGGGTTAATGTTATCTTTGTGCCGGAATGTTAATAGTTAAATTAAAAGTTTGACCAAAAAAGGGACTGTGTGAAAACTCCCAGCACGTTTTTAATATTATAGCTTTCACACAAGTGTAGTGTGCTTTTGATGACACTTTATTGTCTAATTTGTTGGCAATTGAATGCCATACATTTGCAGATGGTTTGTTTATATAAGATCTTCCTATTGTGTTGGAGAAGAACGTGTGTGTCAGCTTCGTTTTTCCAATGGCAGCCTTTCGCTGTCATTTTGTACCTAATGCAAGATAATTGAAGTTACAATTAGCATCTGTCTGTGGTGTACTTTGTCATTCGGGAGATTGGGTCTCCAAATGGTAAATAACTCAAGGGATAACTGTTATATCCAAATCCAAATCTTCTAAATCAGATTGTACTACATGAAATAGATAAGAATCCCTAAGTTCCGCCGTTGTATGCTCAAGATAAGTGTACGGAGTCAGGAAAAAACATATCGGACCTAATCTCATGTGTTTAGTGGAACACCTTGTATATCTAAAAAGGTAGCATATTAAATATTTTATTTTATTTTTATTTTATTTTTGCTTTTATTTTTGAGTGGGCCGGGTTTCATCCAAGGTCGCTCTACCAACCCAACCCACTATACATTAAGTGGAAGAACACCTGGTGGCGATGTTGCCCCTAGGTGAACTTCGCCCTTTAGATCAACATCTAATAAAGACGTTATTATTATTTACAAATATCTATGTCCGAACGCCGATTCGAACCAGGAATCCATAGTACCGCACTCCAGCCTAAACTGAATTGCGCGACACGGCCTGGTAAAAAATATAACACACCGTGAATGATATTGGTTTTCTATGCGATTTTTTTAAACTTTTTAAGTCACAGTAGGCTATGAAAAACAATCTTTTATTTCATTCTCAAGTTTCTATAATTTGTTATTTTTACTTTCTTGTGCCACACTCTTTTGTCTGTTAAAATGTTTCCAGCTACAATGTCAACACAGTTTAGTTTCTAGATCAGCTTTTGTTTCATATCGCCTACTGTGGTTTAAAGCAGTATATAAAGTGTATATAAATCGCATATAGGTATCATCTATGATATTACTTTTCCGCACCCTAAGTAAAGTATTGTTTTCATCACAGAAAAAAGTCCGTTGTCGTTGTCCTGGTTGTTTTTAGCACGACAACTCAAAATTGAATGGAACAAATTTGCTTACATTTTTTCAGTCCTTGCCGCGTGGAGACGGCACCTATTAATTTCCACACTGGTATGCCTTCTTCTTCTGCGCATGCGCAAAAATAACTTTCTTATTTATGGACAGATCTTACTGAAATTTTAACATTAGCATCCTTTACTAAAGGCAAATCGATCGATTATCTCAAACATATCAAAAGCTTCTTTCGCGCATGTGTAAAAGTAAATTTCTTATTTGTTGACAAATTTTTGTGAAATTTTAACGGTAAATCAAATTAAACATCCATGTAGTTAATTGCCACATCGATTAGATACTTCGCTCAATAATAGGCGAAGCGATGCATGAGAAATAACTACAATAAAAGGAAAGTGCTGGGTCTCAACAGATGCTACCGTGCAGAGTTAAGTTTTGAAAAAAACACATTTTTTGATATTGATACTAAAGGTAATGGAATTTTGCAAATAACGGACAAATGTTTTGGAAGAATTATCTGAAATTTTTTTACTGTCATTTGTAATTCATAGTCTATCATGGAAAGTGTTTATTCTGACCATTCCATGCTATAGTAATTTATTTTAGTGATTTTAGTCCATAAAACAATAACTTCAAGGCAGTATTTTATTATAAACTTTCCTTTCAAGCGACTGTGAGGTAGCGCCGGCTAACGAAGGTAACCAAAAGTAAGTGCTAAGTGGTCGTCATTAGGGATAGAAAGAGAAACAGTGGCGCATGGTGTGGTGTGGTTAGAGCTGCATATCAATTAGTCACGTGCAAGGTCACGTGCTATAGGTATGGCGCTCTTAACGTAAAATTAACATAAATAATCACATACCAAACAAATAAAGCCCATAATGCTAGCTTAAAGGGATTGAATATAACAATATAACTGATTGATTTTAACTAATAAAATTTGAAAATTGACATGGCTATCACCATAAAAGATGGCGATGACTAAAATAAAATCTTAAAATTAATTGATCATAGACTAATTGATTAATAAATTTGATTAATTAATTAAATGATTAATGAATTATTTGGATCAAATATACGCCATCTAGTAGTTATTAAAAATTTCTGCGTAAGGACTAACTTTAGTGAAAATATGCTAACTACATTTTTTGTAGGAAATTTTGTAATTTAATTTTGCTCACCACATATTTTCTCGTAAAATGCACAGTTTTGGAGATATCGGCGGAAAACCGATTTTGACGGCCATCTTGGAAAGATGGCGGCCCCGGCGGCAAGTTTCGAATTGTGCATTTTATGAATTTTAGTTCTACGCACTCAAGCATACAAAATTTCAGTCCTTCCCGAGTTATTTCCAGGTAAAAATCCTCAATGAGTGGCCTATTAGCAGAACATCTAAAAATCGAAATAATTTCCAAACGGCATGTTTTGCTGGCAAGCTTTTTACGGCACAAACGTAGCACTAACCAATCCACCTAGTCTCGACATTTGTGCCGTCAATGTTCTGCTAACTTCAGGGACCCGTCACCCATTATACTAGGATATCTTTCAGTACCTGGTGATCGCAACGTTGTATCATTGAAGTTTGCGAATATTTGTTGAGTTTTTTGTATCCTGCTGTCCCTTTCCCTAAAGCATGGTCTTTAGAATTCATTTCAAATGGGCCTTACTCGATTCCGTATAGGTACTGTTGTATTCCAATATTTGATCGAAAGATTTGTGACGTGCCTCTTAATTTTAACTCTCCCACGGCACGTAAAAAATCACTGAGAGAAAGAGTGTTAGCTCCCGGGGTCAAGCCAATCGCCCTACAATAACTGGAGTATAGCAGAGTACATTCTTTTAAAGGTCACCTAAACGCAGAATCGGCGTCTTTATTTACACTGGCAACATCCACCGGCTGTCTTTTGCTTTTTCTGATCGCGACCATCAAGAGTTTAAATTCCACAAAATTCAAACACCCGTCATTGTCGTGGTCGAAGAATCTAGGAGCCGATATCTTAAACTGTAATCGCAGGTAAAGCATTTACTTGAACATGTATCGACATCGTAGCTCCGCCGGAATTCCACCATGGGTAGTGGTAGGCTCCACAGCTGCCAAAATGTATAGCAGTTCTCTGTAAGATAACCCACCTCGGCCAATGACATCAGCTGCCCTAAACAACAAAGTAGAATTAGAGAAATTTCTCGAGGAGATAACACTTGAAAAGATAAGAGGCTTCCTCCTTCGACCACCCCAAGCACGTGACAAGGCGCGAGAAGACCTGCGAGCACATGTAAATGGCAGGGAAGCACATAAACACGAATTCTTTGTACAAAGCCATTTGAACTGCGAGAAAACTTGTACTAGTCGACTAGTAGGTTACCTACACCTTTACCGTTTTTAGTAAATGACGCCGACTCAATAATTTGTTCGAAATTCTCCGCGTTTGGTTTGCTGATGAGTACATAGTCGGTGAGCTCCACGAGGCCGTCGCAAGACAAAATCTCGTACGGTATTGTTATATTGGCGCCTTCAGTTATTACGGTATGGGGCGTACCTTTGCACATTTGCAAAAATTCGAGCACCTCCGGCGACCGTAAATTCTCCTGATCTAACATCTTCTGCAAGTCCGTTTCTTGGGCCCATCGAATTTTCCCTCGATACTATCAAGCGCGTTTGTCAGAATCTAAATGGATTTGTCACTTGCGAACCTTTCCATAAGTGCTCTTGAGTTTCTTTCGCTGCTCGCCCGGCATCAGCACAAAATAAATGCAATGGTAAATGTACGAGGCGGAATGGTGCGGTACCCATATCTTGTACAGCTTCAACATCTTTTGCGATTGGTACACGACACCAAATATCTGTTCAGATGAAGCTAAGTTTCGGATTGGCGCAATCGACTTACTCGTACATCCTCCATGTCCTTGACAGATTGAGCGAACCACCCAGTCCCTACTGGAATCTTGGATGATGGTATCCAGTACTCGTTTGCGTTGGGTTCTAAGGTAATTAGCATTGACATGTCATCTGGACAGAAAACTACGTGCGAGACAACGTCCGTGAGCTCGGAAACTGCCTTGAACATTATTCCTAATCAAAATTTTCTTGACTCAAAAATTGACAGTGGCAAATGACACTATGGATACCAACATTAGCGTGGTTCGTCCGCTTCGTCGCATAAATTTGCCAAACAGCATCAATTTGTACAAAATTGTGCATGTTACTCAGCAACTTGGAATGACTTTAATCATATTTGTAGCGAATTTTCTAGAGCGCCATCTAGTCGACAAAGGAAGGTAAGTGGATGTGACTCATTCTTTCTATGAAATATGCTATGCTTATTTGGGGTTGTCTAGGAACTTTTTGTTTTGCTCAGAGCCGTAGCCAGATTGATTTATAAGAGCGGGCCAATAAATCTACAGAGCGGGCGGACGAAATCACCCCCTGTAAACATTCGTTTTTCTTGGAAAATACAGGTCGAATAATTTGGTAGTATAACGCAAAAAAAATGTACACTCGTTTTGAGACGCTACTAGCTCTTTATCTTAAGAGCTATTGTTCTGCTTTTTTCGCTATTTGGTTCGTTATGGTGTCGAGGGTTGCACCAAGGAAGGAATTCTTTCTGCGTTTATTGCTAAAAAAAGTTATTGTAAAAAAACCAACAAACCGTTTTTTACATGTTCCATAATTTTACACTTTTGCCGTTTATTAACGATCCTAGAGATCATTTATAATTTTGTATTGTTGTCTGTCGTCTGTCTGTTGGTCTGTCCGTCTGTTCCTTTGCCTGTCTGTCCCTCTATCTGTCCGTGTGAACGATAACTTTGTTTAGAAATGCCCGATCGCTTAGTTATGAACTGAATTGCATGAAATTCAATGTGGGCATAGCTTTAGTCATATAATACGCAATACCAAAAGTTGAGTGGAATCGATTCAAAATTCACAGTGCCCTTCTCGCATGTCGACCATTTATAAACCGAATTGCAAACTTTTTATAACAGTATTTAAATGAAATATGATACATAGGATACATAGGTGCTAGGAATAAAGGAAAATCAAAAATTTGGTTTTGCGCATGCGCAGTTCCAACTTTCTTATTTAGAATAGTATTGAAATGAAATTCTTCTTATAAACTGAACTTGAAGTAGCACGTCAAAAATGGATTGCACATGTGCAACGCTATCTTTCATATTTGTGGCCGGATTTTTACGATCTTAACAGAAGTTGCATCTTACAAATGGGAAATGAATGCAAGTGGAAATGCGCTTTTTGTATATCGTTTACGATTACTTTTTAACTTGTTAATTTTTTTTGCATGTTTTTGAATCGTTTGAACCTTTTTTTTAATATCATTTAAAAAAAGAATTTAGTGTATTCTGTCTGTTTCGATTAAAATATACATTGTGTTCATTTAAAAAAATGAGATTGGTCTGATAATTTTTTTTTATGTAAACGTACTTTGAAAATGGTAGATTTATGAAACATTATTTATAATAAACACATTTCCGATAACTTAAATAAACAAAGAATGTATAGGCTTTTATCTAAAAATCAAAAAATGCAACTTTTGCAGTCAAAAACAAAAAAACTGTAGGCCAGTTTGGATTTCAACATCGAGTTTATCTCAAAAAAATGATCAAAGTCCTCGTGTGAGATCGAAGGGACTTCAGCGCATTTTTGTGTGGCAGATCAGTGTTTTATTAGCCAATATTGACTCCACCATCAATAAGATCTTGACGAAAGCTACCACGTTCACTTTGTCGGTACCATTTTCTCACTTACCGTGCACTCGCAATTCGCGTTTGAAGTTTTGACTCCACCATCATTAAAATCCTTTGGGGGTTACTATATTCCCTTTGTCGACACCCACTTCTGATCACCCGCAATAATTCGGATTTGAAGTTTCGACTCCACCATCAGTAAGATCTCGTCGGGGGTTACCACATTCCCTTTGTCGATACACAGTTCCGACGTCCCGTTCACTCGTAATTCACATTTTGGTAGATTTCGCTAAAATCCCGGCATAAAATCGTATTCAACTTTTGGGTACTTCACATAGCTCGACCTTCTATTAGTGACACGAGAAAGAGAAACCGCGATTCGCGCTGTAAGAAACTTTTGGGCGCCCAAAGTCGACTACCCCTCGAAGCGCGCCGCGCAAAAGGTGGTTTATTTCGCCCCTAGGGAAAAAAACAAAATTCCGCCACGCAGGAGTTGTGCGCGTTGACAAGATCTTCCCGACGACACCAATTTGAAAACAATCGGAGAAAAACTGTAGAAGAAGATAGATAAAAACTGAAAAATCTCCAGGTTAGTATAATACGTTCGGGGATGGCGTCCAGATGTCGTCGACTCCAAATCTTGTAGCCCCATCCCTAACGTTCTTAATTACACGGCCCCGATAGTTACATGTACACTCCTTGTCTTTTTACAAGCGTTTTTCTACGGAGGCGCATTTACTGCCAGCCAGCCAGCCAGCCAAATTGAGATTAAAAGCTACTTTTTACAAAAAAATTTTTTGCAAAAATGCGCTAAAAATACATCGAGACTGCGAGGTCAATTTATTTCTATCACTAGTTTAAGAGGTAGGTACCCCATACTAACAACCACCCTAGCCACCCTATACAGAGCAAATAATCTATACACAAATGTTAAATTGTCCAATTTTAATAGGTGACATATAATTCCGAATACCAAGCACCTTCCTCTACCTCGTGGTGACTTAAACAACGTATCATAGGAATTTAAATAGTACTTTTTTCATTTCCGATTTTTGGCTCCACTAATTATTTTAGAGATAAAGTCTATTTAGATTTTTTGTAGAGAAAAAAATTACGAATCCATGCATATTATATAGCTTTTAATTTTTTGAACTATGAAACCAAGAAATTGGATAACTAAACTCTGGCGCTTTTAAGAAAATCAGTGGTGCCATGGCAGTTTGACATCAAACAAAGCCAACTAATGGCAAATACAGGCGCTTTTGTTTGAATTCATATAATTCCATGGCATTACCGATTTTGTCTGTTTACAATTTGACTTGTCTTATCCATGTACTTAAATGGCCAAAAAGATGAAATATATATTATTATTATTATTATGGTCGGTGTTTCTTGTGAGAACTCAGGTTTAGCCTGGTTAACTAATCGCACGGATTAAAATCAAGTAACGATTAGTGTGTGTGTGTCTGTGTATGGTGAGGTTTTTGTGCTAGGGCGTGTAATTTTATTGGGTGGACCTGTCTTTGTAGTGCATGTTGCGTTAGTTGTATTTATGGTGTTTCTTTGTTCTTGAGGTTGTATTTGAGAGGTTGCTTGGGTTTTTGCTTATTATTATTATTATTATATTATTATTATACCGATTTTATAAACGCGACGGTTTTTAATTTTTAAATTTTTACTATTTCTGAATTTATAAAATAGGAAACAATAGTATATACGGATTCGTTTATTTTTGTCTCTACCCCGTATATTTGATCATGCTATATTGCGTCATATTAGCCAATTTTCAAGAGCGAGCAAAGTGGGTTCCAAGCACTTGCCCCCCCTCTGGTTCTGCTATATAATCAAATCACTGAACTATAATTATACTGGAACGCTCGCTCCGTCGGCCAGCGCGATCCGAGAGAGAGAGAGAGAGCCACAAGGGGGATCTCTGTTCTACTCTCGCGAATGCATAGAGCAGCCTATTTGATATGTTTTGAATTTATATTAATGACCAGTTTCCCAATGAGCGACAGTGACAGAAATCCCCCTCGCATTTATCTCTCTCGGCGCACTACGTTTTTATGACAGAGACCGCCAGTGCGCGTTCCAGCTTCCAGTCTAATTATAGTTCAATGAATCAAATTGAACTACGTTTAGTCTCAGTATTAATATCGATGTCGAAGTGATAAATAGTGAAATCCGCGCTCGTGTTATAAATATGAATACCAGTAAAAGTGATAAAGGGTTTTCCAATAAGAGGTGTTATTTTGATATTCAAAGGAAAATGCCATTTTTTAAGATAAATGATCGGATATTTATTACATTATAAAGAGGAAGGTATGCCGTTAATAATGGAAAATAACATCAGCTAAATTACCACCATCACCACGTACGCCTACAGGACCATATCCTTTTTATGAAATTTTCCATAACCAAATGGCAAAGTGGCTGCCCTATGTCCTCGATAGCCCCAATTCCATCTTTGAGGTCTTGAATCGATGCTGGGATGTTGGCGTAGACCTTGTCTTTCACGTGGCCCCAAAGGAAGAAGTCGCAAGGTGTCATATCACAAGATTGTGATCACCTCTTCGAGAAATGACACGGCCCGGAAACTTTTCCCGTAAAAGATCAATGGTTTCGTTGTTTGTGTTTGTGTTGAGGCGTGTATCGTTCGATTTTTATTAATGGCGTAGTTTCTACTTGTCTATTGTCAAAAAATGGCAGCTTCAAAACTGACATCTACCGAAATGGTGGGCTATTCAAAATAACACCTCTTATTGGAAAACCCGTTATATAATAATTCAATTTCAACATCATAGGTCATATCTAATATAATTACTCAATGGAAGTGGAAGGGCGTTGCAGTGTACTTAACTCCCCCCTCCCTCCCTTCTACTACATAACACAAAAATAACGGCAACGTTTAAAAATTGCCACCGAAATGGATGTTCCCTCCAAAAGTTAACCAGAATTCCGCTTAAATTTGAAATCGAAAAGTGGCAAGTTATCAACGGTCCAAAATCGGGCCCCTTACGTTATGACCTGAAGTACAGTTATTTATTTATTTATCGTATGGGTAGCACTCCTGGGTTACAGACGTTTTCAGATCGCTTCAACAGCATCTGTGTGACCATTGTGTGTGACGACACATACTGTCCTCACGGTGAATGTTTGCCCAGCGGTAGGATGCGCATTCGTCCGAATTTAAATTGTTTGAATGCGCGCGATTGCGTATCCTCAGTGGCGGCGTGAGGGCTAATTCATATAACCGCCGAATCTAAATTTTGATGTTTCGATCTCCACAACTAACAATCTTAAAATTCCGGCGATGCGATGTGTTCTATTTTGAATCATTTGACGAATATACAAACGTAAATGAATTATAAATAAAGATTGATATACGTATTAATTTTTTTTTCTTGTAATTTTGCGACGCCACTGGTAGGTAATTTAGACAACCGACCGCTGCCGAGCGCACGATATACCTGCGCGACACGAGGTAAACACTCGCTGTGAGGACTGTAAATAAGAATTGATGGGTTACAATAAAAAATAAACTCGTAGGAGCAATAATGGAACTGTTGTCAATGTATAAGATAGTTTGCGATCCATAATAAAGCATGATAAATATAAATCACATACACAAAGCACGATTGCAAAAACTGATTAAAAGCAAGTTGCAAAACTAACGAACTGGTTGGAGTACAAGCAGGTAACAAAGCAAGGTAGGTGTACAACAAGTGACTCATCTTTGGTGCAATATTCTGTTAAAAGCAAGATGGAAAATTACACAACCTTGCTCTTTAAATTAAACTAACGACAAAATATGCGGAAATCAATGAATCGCAACTCATATATCGCACATAACTTCTAAACTGAATAGTCTTTGTTAGCAGAATCTCAACCCCGAGATAGGTAACTCGCACCTCGTTCGGGGTATCCGAGCCTACAGTTGAGGTCAATCTCGGCATTAGGTATTGTAGCTGATTTGGTCAGGACACATATCAACCAATTCGATAACTTCCACATATTTAAAATAATGATTGAAATTTATATGAATATTACGTCTGGTATATGTAATCAAAACATAAACATACATTGACTTACATATTTACATTAAAAGAAAAAGATTTGGAAACAATAAAGGTCAATTTAAATTTTGCATACAAAATACATCATAAATAAATGCAGATTACTACCTGCTTTAAACAATACAAAAATAACAACAAACTTATACTGCACGATGCGTTCATGACCACCAGTAAAAACAAGATGGCAAACGTAACAAGCGTTCATTTTTTTCCCCTTCTAAAAATTGCACGGTTGCCAGTTCAAAAATGTGGGCATCATCGTAGGTTGCATATACAGGGTGAAACCTCTTAGAACAGCCATAAGAAACATCAGTCAGCTATCCACTGAAAACACAGGAAGTAACGGGCGATCAAAAATGAGTTACTGTCAAGTCGCCTTTGGAAGTACGATTTCCCATGTAAACAAAAATTCCAAAGGTGACTTGACAGCAACTCATTTTTAATCGCATAATACATTGGTGGCATGACCTGGGAACTAGCCAAGACGCAAGCAAAAATTAAATGGGTGGTTAAAAAACTGAACTGAAAAATAAACGCACTCTTTTATATATTTACTGTATTTCTCAAGCACATAAATTGAAATAACATCACATTATATTAATTATCAGTTCTAAAACTATGATATATATGGCTGTTCAAATTCAACTATCTAAATCGATGCAATATGGAAAATAAATTCTGGATTGAATTCGAATAGCAAACTATCTAATTACCACCTAATTACTGTACACAATATATAAGTCAAATTGTTGAAATGTAAACTTTTTCCAGTCAAATTAGAAATCATTGCAGCATGCATATTTGGAAAGAAATGTTCAGGGAATATGAGACTGTCAAGATCTCCTTACAAACATCTAATTTGACTAGAGTAGTGATTAATTAACTGTATCACATAGAGATTTATTCATTTAAAAAGAACGCCTGGGAACGATTTTGAAGTAAGTGCAAATACTAAATTATACTTTGACCAAGTGACTTCCAGTTTCAAGGACTAACAGTCTTTTCTTTTTGCGTAAATCTTAAATTGCAACAAAGGAACTTTGACAAAGAAACTAATCACGAACACGAATTAAGGACTGATCTGTTCAATTTTCGCCATTAAACTGGAATCGATCGGTTCGATGGTAACATCCTTTGATAACAAAATGGGTTTGCACGACGTTTCTAAGTTCGCCGGCATTATGCTTAAACTATCGACGGCGTTATCGTCGCTTGCCAGTTGCATTCCGGAGTTAAGCTCGATGAGCGGCTCTATCATTATATGCTCGGTGTGTTCGTTGTGTAACGAGTACTGATCTTTCTCTGGTATATCGACGCTTTCTATTTCCTCGGGCGGTGTAGGCGATGCGCATTCTTCCTTAATTTTTGGAACACTTGGTGTTTCTTCTAAAAGAAAAAAAAACAGATTGAGGCCCAAGACAAAAGTTACGTGTAAGAAAGCACTAAAATTTGCGCCCCCGTCCGCCGCGCTAACGCCTAAATAATGGGAACTTTTGGCAAGAAGTTTTTTATAAATATAGAGGTCTATATCCTTAAAACATTGTAACGTAAATTTAATTACTTATTTACAATTAATTAACAATACATTTATAACAATGTTGAAATGAATTGATTTATAACACCCAAATATTATTTATCACTCACATTAACACAATTTTTAACAGTGGGAACTATTTATTACTTCGGTGTTGAAATTGGAACTTTCCTGAAACGCAATTCGATTTGCTTATATAGCCAACTCGAGTATTCTGGAGTGCTCCCAAATGGTCTTGAACATTCTAGAACAAAACACATCACATTTCCCGGAAAGATTACATCATATCCGCCTTTGTTCTTTATCGCCGATTACTAATCTTTCATGGCGCCTCGATATCTATCGAGATTTCTGGAATATTCGGTACATAATTTCTTACTATATATTTTTTCAAGTTATGTTATATCGTGATCGTTTGATCTTAAAAATAGAAAACGCCGTCTGTTTTACATCCGTGATTCGGCAGTCATTAACTTCCAGTGATTTTGCACCCCTTCTTGTCTGCACCGTAAGCGGAGGATTACACCGCTTACGCCTAAAGCCGGCCCTGATCAGTAGTAGTATCACAGTCATTATTGACATCAACAAACCCTTAAAATAATCGTATGTTCTAGCTTGCAGCCAGTCGACAAAAATGTCACAAATTCAATAAAATTGTGTCTGAATCAAATAAACTTGAAAAGCTGCAAAGATGTTCGCTCAACTTTGCAAATCAAACAACTATCTGTACTACGTAGACCACTTGGTAACGGTCAGAATGTTACATACACAGGTCGATACGCTAATACCTTTTAAAGTTTAAACGGTAATAAATCACATTTCTTTTCATAACAAATTTCATACAATTTGTCAATATATTTTTATAAGGATTTATAGGCTCAGTATTCGTTCCTCTCAGTCCATCTGACTAAGTACTCGTTCAGACCAGACCACCGGTCTCGGGTCTTCAACGATTTTACCGGAAAACAGTTGCCTTCTTCAAACTGCTCCTTCATGTTACCACCAGGAGTGGTGCAAGCGCATGAGAGAGAAAGAACGCTCAGTTCCGAATAAGCATCGTGAAGTGGTTAGCTACAGCACCTGAAAGCTAAGGTAGACCGCATGGAATTTTAAGTGCCATCTTCCGCATATATTGATCTCTTATATTCCTAATTTGGGGATTCCGAAGCAATTAATTTGGACAGGATGCACCTATCAATGCTCCTAGTGAGGATATAAATTTGCGTTCTTCCTTTCTTATCGTAAGTACCGCCATTTGCATTTCATGTACTTAGAGTGTACCTTCTTTAGGTCGGCTGTAATTTGTTATACTTCAATTTCCATCTACGACTAGCCCTCTTATATAATAGGTATGGAAATTTTATGTTATCAAAGAAGAGGGGTTACCTTTGATTTCTTTTAGGATTCAAATTTTTAGTTTCAGGTGAACTTCAATTTTAAATCCCAGACACATCTTACATTACATACGATACATACATTTAAGTAATTTGTGAACATTAATATGTTTGCCATCTCGGTTAAGTTATGATCAAGTTTGAAATCTTGTCTTGTCCTTCCTTCTGAAGGGGTGGCCAATTAAGTATACCTGGTATAGAAGCAGATTACGAGTAGAGCGAGGTCCTTCAGGCATTAATCAACTAATTATATATACCAAGCCCTGCTACTTGAGAGGTCTTTCTATTTTATAGTTCCCGGAGAATAGTGAGAATTGAGCTCACTTCTTGGCGTCAACTGCTAGCTTTATTGCCTTATATGCTTTACTTGTACTTGGCCCTATACGTGCGAATTTTTTCCGAAATATCGATTTAGTTGGTAGAAAGTTGTTTTAAGAGTTTTTTGAGTAGTGTAATTAATAATTTTGAATATATGGGGGAACATTTTGTATTTGTGTCATACACTATCCTGTGCATCTTATGTACAGGGTGGTCAAATAAGAATGCGAGGTACTGTATCTGGGAACCTGTCCATCGTAGGGGCTTGCGGTAAAAAAAATTTGTTACTAAAACGGCCACGAGAAAAACCTGGAAAATATTTTAAGTTTCTGCAATGGCCGCTAGGGGGCGTAACTGCAATCTGAAAAATTCCGCTATATTAACCTAACAAAAAATGTCCGGTTTTTGAAGTTGACGATAATTGGAACCTTTTTTGTTTGGCAATTTTTCCTGTATCTCTAAAAATGAAGTGGTGGGGGGTATTCAAAGGTTTCTGTAAAGAACACCCTGTATCTTCGAAACGAATGAGCCGATTTTAACAAACTCGGGTTAATTGAAAAGAGTTATTCTTTGGCTACAAATATTATAATATTTGAAGTTTTGTTAGTTTCACATATCGCCGCTTGAGGGCTATTTTCGACATTCCGACAGAAATGGTTAATTTTCTCAAAAAAATTAAATGCGTTGGTTTGGTTTTTTTTTCATGAAAAAGTAGCTAAATGATGCAAGCTAAACAAGCTCGCGAAAACCGCATTTAATTTTTTTGAGAAAATTAACCATTTCTGTCGGAATGTCGAAAAAAGCCTTCAAGCGGTGATATGTGAAACTAACAAAACTTCATATAGTATAATATTTGTAGCTGAAGAATAGCTCTTTTGAACTAACCCGAGTTTGTTTAAATCGGCTCAGCCGTTTCGAAGATACAGGGTGTTCTTTACGGAAACCTTTGAATACCTCCCACCACTTCATTTTTAGAGATACAGGAAAAATTGTCAAACAAAAATTGTTCAGATTATCAAAGACCCGACATTTTTTTGTTAGGTTAATATAGCGGAATTCACAGAAAAATCACTTTTTTAGATTCCAGTAAAGTCACTAAATATAGAAAGTACCGCAATCCATTGGGCTCGTGTGTTAGAGAGAGAACGCATGATTTTTGCCCAAAAATGGCGGAAATTACCAGATTCTAGTAACTTTAATGTTAGGTATTGTTCCACCTGTTTGGAGATATCTGTATATATTTTTCATTGAACTATATATACTTTGTTTCAAGGGTGCTGAACCTTTCGTCACACTATCTGACGTCATAGCAAAATTAAGGCAGGTCGTAAATTAGTAGTTGGTTTACATATTGTCACATTGACGTTTCAACTTATTTATTAAGGTGTCACTATCGTTCATCATTATTAGACCGCCCAAGTTGACAATCACTTGTAAGGCATCTGGTTCTGATAGGTTTTTTCCTGTTCTTAGGTTTTATAATGGCTAAATGGTCATGTATTTTATGTAGAGGAAGTCCGTTGGTATGAATTAAACCTTTTCAACCGTTTGTAATCACCTCATGTAACCGATTCTTTGCACATCCAAATGGATACTGCCAGAGCATCCGAAACTCTTTGAGATGAAGTGTATGATGGTTACAGAAAACGCATAGGAACATTTGTAACTTAAAGTTTGTTTAGGCAGTTCGTAAATTAATATTTTGTTTACATAATGTTGATGTGAAATTAAGTATGCTACCAATGTGAAGAATACGCGTTAAGTTGCGCGAATTTTAATGACCCTTAACTAGCCATTTGCAGAAGTAGAATAGGCCATGGTTTATCGGTAAGCCTTTCGCATTTATACATCTTACAAATTTGAGATAAAGCGTAGTCATTATACCACTGGCTCATTGAAATAACAACGCATACATACAGTTTCTGTTCTTTTGCCACACAGTCGAGATATTCGCATAAGGATCTTGAATATCTTCTGATCCGATTTATTTAAAAAAAAACGCAATTGTGAAAGAAAACAGGTAGTGAAGAAAAAAACTCTCAAATGTTCATATTCAAATCGTATGTACAAAAGACAAAAAGCGACACTACACCACAAATCCATCTTCTGATCCTGCATGGAGTATTAGGTATATACCGGACCCCTTCACTACTTCTTTTTCTAACTGTTTTGAGAGTACCATCTTGCCAGCTTCTTCTAAAAGACCCTTTACTGTATATCCAGGTTTCGTCTAAAACCACAGGTCGTAATGGAAAGAGTGAAGTTTCGTTGTGTTTAAAGTCTCTCAAAAATTGTAGTCTTCTTTGAACTGCATAGGGCTGTTCCATTAAAAATAATCTATTGGAGACGGTGCATCTCCGCCACGTGAATTTCAGTTTCTTCAAACTGCGGGACAAAGAGGTACCAGATATTTCTACGCCATCAAGTCGTTGAAGATTACTGTGTAAGGAACGGAGTGTAACATTCTCACCTATAAAATCAATTCAATACCTAAGTGTTCTGGCGAACATCTTCATTCTGTGTATCGGTTCGTCATATTTACCTAATGGTAACGGGAATGACCTAAATTCATGATATGAGCGAATCGAACCATTATGTGGTAAAATTTTTAAAATACTTGTCTATTAACGGCGTTGCTGCACTGTCGACTTGCCTAAGCGTTTTTAACTTTGATGATATTTACTTCACTTTTAACACAAACTACCTAATCAACACTGGAAATCTGTCTATAACGAAAATCGTTTGACGGATTGATATTATGACAGATCAATTGGTTTATTTGTCACGACTTACGTTAATGACGTAATTTTTTTGTCTCAATCGATTTAAATGTAATGAAGAGAGAATCACATTTATGACGTCAGGTTCAGCACCAGTGAAACAAAGTATACTCTGTAACTGGAACAGCATCGCCCGTAATCAGCCATTGCCAGGGGCCGTGGCGAATTTTTGTGAGAGAGAGATGGGTAGAGGTAGGTATCCCTTACCTTGTTCCACTCATGTGGGATGGTTTACGGTCTATTCAGTATATCTTCCGTTGCACGTCATTACCTGAAGAAAACGACGTACCAACGTAAACTTACTTTCGTTTATTAGGCAACACATTAAGCATGTAGTTTATTTTAGCCGCAACAATTGGTAGCATTTCGCTATGTTGTCGCGTTTAAATTTGTAAATTTGACAGGTTGCTTTTGGTTTACTTTTCGTTTGATTTGATTTTGATTATTTTCTACGTCTTTCGCTGTGCATTGGTTTGAAGAGAAATTACTGAAGAATTTAGATAACCCGTCAGTAATTGTGTTCGATAATGGGAAAACAGACAACATTAAAGTGTAGTTAGGTGATCATAATGTGCAGTTCTCCGAAAATGATTTTACAACCGAACTGTTGAAAAGGTTGCACAGTAAGTACCTTCGCAAATTATTTGATGTTATATAAATCTTGTTGATACTTTTAGGAATAAATCAGCTAAAATGTACCGCATAAGGCATTGACCACTTAGCCGAGCAATACGGTTACTTCGTTTTACGATTACCACCCTATCATCGCGTTTTTAATCCTATCGAACATATTTGGGGCATAGCGAAAAATTACTAAAATCGACACATTGGTAGAGATGGACGAAGCATTGAAAATTGCATAAACATGTGACAAGAATCACTACAATGGATAACTTCCGAAACGTGGCGCAATTCAGTTAAGGATACGGAAACTGTAATACACGAGTGGTACGAAAGATAAAAGCAATTAGATCTTGAAAACGTTGCTACTATTATTATAAACTTTGAACACGAAAGCAGTTCCGATGATTCCGATTAATTTGAATATCATCCATCCAGAGACATTGAGAGGGGAGATCGGTGATCGACGAGTGCGCATCCAAGAAAGGGTGCGACCTCATGGGCGCTGCCATTTTTACACCCTTTGTGTCATGTTGTGTTTATAGTGGTGTTATTTTAGCGTGTGTTCGTGTTTAGGAGAGCTTTTTTCGAAGTTTAAGTGTTTATTTTGTAACGTCAACGTCACTGGCATTTTCTTTTGTTCATTTGGATTGAGATATTAGTTTCTTCCTACGGAGCTGCTGCCGAATAGAGTGTAGTGTATGAAGATTGCGTTAGATGTCTCTGGGTTGCGTCAGTAAACCTTTATAGTCCTGTTCAAATTTCGCGCTTCAATGGGTGTCAAAATGGCAGCCCCCTTGTTTTGTAACTTCGCGCAGTTTCATGCGTTATCTCCCCTCTCAATGTCTCTGCATCCATCACATCACATAACCTGTAAAATTTTATATTTAGTACTTTCTCTGTAAAAGAGATGCTACATTTGTACAGTTCATAAGTTATTAAAGTATATTGTGTGTATATTGTGGTTCCAATTAACGAAATGAATAATAAAAATGATTTTAATTTTATTTAAGGTGTGGATTGTTCACACAAAGAATGCACTGTCTTGTTGACAAGTGACATAACCTAAATCGCTCAAAACTAGATTTGGCATTATTGCATAGTAATTACGTCACAGAAAATGATGACGTGCAACGGAAGTTATACGGAATAAAGTGTATATACGTCTTTCGCTATAAAAACCGGTGCACGTCATTGATTTATGAATCAATTTCAGACAAGTTTTCTATAGATTTCGCACACTTGTTTTTTTTTTGTACATGTTGCAGTGTTGCAACATATGTCTAAAATTGATACACAAATCAATGACGTGCAACGGTTTCTATAGCGAAAGACGTATACTACGTCTTACATTTTGCTTATTTTTGTCTAAAATAAGTTATTAAGAGATTTGCAAAAATGGTCATGAATTATGTTGCATATACGTGCAATCATTTTTATAATAAAAATTCAAATATTCAATTTTATGGGTACGTTTTGATAACATTTTTTAACCTCGACGCGCGCATTTAATATTTTTGCGTATGACGGCATTTGCACCGCTCAGATTTCTTTACTAATGTACCTCACACTCATTTATACTGTCCTTATGAATGATAATTCTTCTTTCCCACTCTTTAATACTAATTCAATAGGGCATTCCACTCGCTAGAGAGCATCATATGAAGAAAAGCGTTAACGCCGCCAAAACCTATAAAGCCGTTTTGACTTACTAATTTGAATATGAAGTTCCTTATTATTTAATTTTTCACTGAACGTTATTATTGATACTGCTCACTAATGGGGCGAAAAATACCTTTAAGGATTGATTTTTTTATTTATTGCCGATTCCTTCGGCCTACAATGAACTGTACATTAGGAAGCGTCAAAGTGTAAAGATAAAATATAAAAGCATACACATATCGCACAGGTATATCACAAAAGTTAAGAGTAGAAAATATCACGGTTTGCATTTTCTACATCCATATCCATCCACATATGATACTGCCGATGGCACCACCACCACGTACAACTGGTGTATTTGGTAGTTACGTTGGCGGTGTGAAGGTATAGTTCCGAAAACAAAGGATCCATCGGGCTGTTGGAAAAATTCCAGTCTCGTACGAGAAACAAACGTTCCATAAGACCAGCATAAGACATTCGTGTCAATTCGTTTCCATCTAATGGCAATGCGGTGACCACTACGAGTAAATTGATTCCTAAACTCATTTTATTCTAAAAAAAAGTGCTTTTTTTAAATTTACGTTTACCTCGACGCCGTAAAGGGTACGTTACAAACGAACACAACCAATGTTTATAACTTTATTTTACATTAATAAGCAAATGGAATGCGTCGAGCCACCATGAATGACATTAGTTGACATTATACTTGTAACTTCAAGAATCAAGTATGTGAGTGTGTGAGTGAGAAATGGCGCAGTTTACCACATTATTAAGTATATATTTTAAGATATTCCATTAACAAATAGATATTGGCACTTATAAAAGCATCGACAAGCATTTATCTTTATCTTTCTAAGACCCCAACCTCCCAGTTTATTTACTTATCTGTATTTTTAACCAAATACGTGTGATCGGTCCTGCATATGCAATACAAAACAACGTGCCAGACAAGGATGAGAATACCTACGTTATGCTGGTTGCCTAAAATCATTGCGGCACGCGATTTTGGCGCTGATGCCGTTCCAGTTACAGAGTATATAGTTCAATGATATTTTTATAAAACATGACAGTACTATTAAGTTAGGTTATAAAAAATTACAGCTATTCAGATTTTATTTGTCAATTTTTTTAAGTTGGCAGCAAATTTGCCCAAAAATGGCGGATGATTGCGGTACTTTCTATATCTAGTGACTTTAGATTCCAGATTGCAGTTACGCACCCTAGCGGTCATTGCAGAAACCTAAAAATATTTTCCAGGTTTTTCTCGTGGCCGTTTTAGTAATAAATTTCTTTACCGCAAGCCTCTGCGATGGATCGATTCTCAGATACAGTACCTCGTATTCTTAGTTGGCCACCCTGTACATACTATGTACATTCATTATGGACATAACTATTTTATCTCCACATGTACCGCTTCATAGTACGCTTGAACTAAAGTAAGTCTGGCGATAACAAGAAACGTATTGGGCAAAGTGAGCGAGGTTGCCACGATCTCTTCGGACCTAAAAGTTGCGTTCATTTCATTCGAGTCCGCTGAAAAAGTAAAAATGCGGGTTTTCTATTGGTTGTTGGGGCAAGCCGGTCGAGATCATTGCGTTCCGAAAAGGGGACTCGTTTCGGTTCGGCCGAGATTCAAATAGCGAGAGCGGGCATTCTAGCTGATTTTCGAACGAACATGTACCATCATCATTGAGTGGACAGCGCCTTGTGTGATAAATAAAATTTTGTAATAACGGCATGAAATTTAAAGACAACTAACAAAACCTAGTTAATACATTGGGCAAAATTAATATCAACATATCGGAGCATTTGCTTATTATTCATGTGCTTAATCACTATCTCGAGTTTTAATTTTGCGAAATTGAAACCGGTTTGCTTGGATTCTTTCTTCTGCCAAACTCTACATTCTTCACGAATATAAGTTCAGAGTGGTGCAAAAAGTCAACGGTAACAATGAACCGATCTGTTAACATATTTTTAAAGGAAGCTGCATTTTCCAAGGAGAGATATGTCAATTTGTTACCAGAAGAGAATATTACCTATGTCAATAACTGTAAGTTATTTTAATTTGATTTGTATAAAGTGGTCGATTATTTTTAGGAATTTGCATAAGGAATTTTGTTCGAAGTAATTTTAATATTCCTAAAGGAATCGACCCATGAAAATTATTCACATGAAACAGATTTTGTATTGTATTTATTGATAAGGAAGAAGGTAGTTACAAGCTCTGCCACTCACCTGTTACAATAGGAACCTTCCGCGGCCTCCCTCTTTTCCTTTTAGGCCCGAAGACGACCGGAATCTCTAGAAGAGAGATAAAGACACAAGCTTACGCGCGAGAGGGAAACTATACCTGTAATACCTGTAATCGGACGCTTTCGTGGCCTACCGCGGCGTCGCTTCTCAGTAAGTAAATCTGACGGCTGGCCGATCTCGTCGCGAAACTTTTCCTGTGGCGATACCCTTTTTATAATTTCCGGTTTTGGCTGTATCTGTCGGAGCGCGAGAGTGCGATACGACGGAGTCTTTCTCAGTTCATCGTCCGAACGAGACTCAACTTTGGCAATTTGGGGAAGCGCATTGACTGGTTGTACGTTTGTTGCTATTATCGACACCTGAAATGCGCAAATAGTTTTCGCCTAAACGCGTGTTAATCTTACCGGCTCCAGTGGCATAAAGTCGTAGCTGCAGCCGTCTGGATCGTGACTGGCTCGAATGTGTTGCTTTAGTTTGTCTTGACGCGCGAAGCTTTTGTTACAACTCATGCAGCCGAACGGTCTCTCGCCAGTGTGCATGCGTCGATGTCTCGCCAAGTGGGAGGAACGGCTGAAGCTAAAAAAAGTCGTGTTGTAGTAACACTCATTGAAAACGCACTACAACGACCTGCTGGGGCAAAAGTCGCATTTGTGGGGTTTCCCCGTTATGATGTGGGTTTTCTGATGGAACACTAGATCCTTTTTGGACTTGCATTTGTAGAAGCAGATTCTGCAAATTAGCGCCGACTTACGTAGTCCGCCATCACTAGACGACCTATTCGGGACATAGTCACAATCCTACCAAATAATTAATTTATTTTAAATATTTCGGCCTGAAACCACCATACTCACACTTTCATCAGATGATTTATCATCGTATAATAGAGAATCGTCTGTTTCAAACCATTGGTTATCTTCTTGTAATAATGGAAGCCTCTCTTTTGGAGCACTATCTGCAACATTGTTAACGGTTTTTAAACACAAAGAAACGCACAGTTTGCGCATGCGCAGACAAGCTTCAACAAAATTAGGTAACAGATACTACCGAACCAATTGTTGTGTGATACTAACCTGCACTGACAATTTTTAAGGAAGTTCTCGACTCACCACCATTTCCGTTGAGCTTCACATAATTTCTGGTGTCATTGAAATTACTCGACTTTTGCAAATTCGGCTTTTTGTCACTAAATCGCGCGTTCGAAATCGAAGCGGACGTCTGTTTGACCTAAAATATTGTTCTCGTCCAAGATCAACTACAACATTGCGAAACTCACCTCGTCTTTGGAGGTTACCCGCTTGGTGGCTATTGAAACTTCGCTATTGTACCTGGTGAACTGCTCCGTCGGACTGTTCGATGGAAGATTGTCGTATCCGTTATTTTGGAAATTTTCGAAACCCTTAATTTCGAGCTCGGAAGCGACGCAGATTAGGTTGTTCAGTGAGCTCGCCGGAATATCGATGAAGCCCTTGTAGATATAATCGAGAATCATCTGCATTTCGTTATACTGCACACCGCGCATGATGACCACTGGATGCTTGCACGGATTGTCATTGAAGATTCGTTCAAAATACGGACTGCACGCGGATAGGACGAGCTTGTGGGCGCGTAGGAGACCGTCGCGACACGCGATCGTTACGTCCACTAGCTTGTTGTCTTGGTACAGGACTTGAAATAAGTTGCTGACGTTTTCCAGGTGATTGTCCCATACGAGATGGAGGGCGTTGTTGGGAGTCATCTGGAAAAAAAATACTACAATAGGAAATTGTTTGTTTTCAAAGATACTAAAGGAGTAAGAATTGAGATAAGAAGGTATTGCGGCACTTAACTGTGCAAGGTCCAATTTTGGCAGTTGGCCCGGGGTGCGAAGTTATATTTTGGAGCCAGACCAGGCCTAACCTGAACACAAATTCAACGAAAACAAATCGGTTAAGTAAACAGGTCTCCATCAAAACAGGTCTGTTTATTAGAAATAGGCCCATTTAATTGACCTGTTTCTGTTGAATTTGTGTTCAGGTTATAGTCTAAGCGGTACATATTAAAAATCGAAAAAATCTGACGAACAATGCAGAAAGCAAGCCACTTGTCATAAAGGATGTGTATGTCCAACAGATCGATTTAACCCGCAGTACTCCCTTCCCCCACCCTGTGGAACCAATATGGCGGCCATTTAGGAAAAAAACTGCCACTGACTAAAAAATATATATTTATATTTCAAGGATGGCATGCGAGTGATCGTTTAAGGATAATTTGAGGTCGCTGATTTCAAATCTGCGACAAAAAATCAAAATTCAAGCAATTTACACTGTAATTAGTCATTTAAATATTATAAAAATACTTCTTCCAGTTAATATATTTTTTTTGTTTTAATGTCGATCTAAATCATAAAATAATTGTTGGATAAATAATTAGAATTTTGATTTTGTAAAAAAATACATTTTACTAATAAAAAGGAAAACCATCTTTAGTTTAAAAATACGTAGAGGGTGAAGGAGGGGAGATATGAAAAAATTTTGCGTTATGCGCGATTTGCCAGGCGAAACCGAGCTATGGACCGTTACAAATCAGAGCGAGCGGAGCCGAGCGTATGTCTCATCAAATCCAAAAGGTATTACCAAAATTAAAAAATCTTACGTGCAATTATGTGCAGACCTGGATTCAAAACAAGTTGAATGGAAATTTTCAAAAAAATGTCACTTTGTATAGGTGATGTTTCCAAAAAACAAAAGTATCCCTCAAAAATCCAAAAAAATTGTCGATTTAGTCTGCTCAATATCATTTTCTTACCGCACCAAAACTGAAACTGAAAAATTGTCTTTGTTGAACAGTGAAAAGTGCGAGGCGAAGCCGAGCTATCGACCGTTACAAATCAGAGCGAGTCGAGGTGGGAGAGCCGCCGGAGCCGAGCGTATGTTTCATCAAAACCAAACAGTGTTATCAAAATTAAACAAGTATAAACTGTACACAACTCTGGTGCAGATAAAGCGCATTTTTTTAAACCGAAATAGCTTTTGTTTTGACATCACCAATGGATATATTTCTTGCAGAAGTCTCAATCGCCCTTTGTGAGTACCCTCTTCCGACAATCCGTTCTTGAGGCATAGGGGAATATGCTCGATCACGATAAGAGGTCGAGGAGGAGGGCTATGGTTGGTAGAAATTAATTCCTTTCGTTGAGACCTTTCACTTGAGTACCATGAAGGATAAAACTAATTAAAGCTTAAATTTATTACATTTTGTTTTTTTGACCTCAGATTTGAAATCAGCGACCTCAATTTATCCTTACAACATTACTCGCATGCCATCCTTGAAATACAAATATATATTTTTTTAGTCAGAAACAGATTTTTTCTTAAATAGCCGCCATATTGGCTCCACATGGCGGGGGAAGGGGGTGCTGCGGGCCAAATCGATCTATTGGACATAAAAATCGACCATGCCAAACGGCATGCTTTCTGCATTATTCGTCAGATTTTTCTGTGTACCGCTTAGAGTATTAGGGATCTGGTCATGACTCTTAACCGGTTAATAACCCATTAGCAACAACCTTCAGCATGGGGCGAATGAGCTTCAACTTAACGCATGCGTAGATCTCAAGGTCAAAGCACCTCGAGCCAACTGCCGAAATATAGCACCCCCGGCCAAGTGTCAAAAATATGAGACTCCCAATGTAACTTCCGAAATGACCTTGGGCCAACTGCCAAAACAGCTGGAGCGGATCAGTTACCGAAATATGATCCCGCGCCCAACTGTCAAAATATGATCTCACACCCCGGACCAACTGCCAAAATTAGGTGAGCCATTCAATTTTTGAAAAATCTTTGAAAATAACTTTGGCATCACCGAAAAATATCAAATTTCATTTTCATTTTTCCCTAGCTTAAACTGTTGGAAATGGTCGGTTCCCAGGAGCACTTCGGAGAATCTGAATCTGGTATCAAAATTTCCATAACCCGATAAATGTACTATGCGATTAAAAAAGAGTTGCTGTGGAGTGAGCTTTGGAATTTTTGTTTACATGCGAAATCATATTTAACTTGAACTTCCAAAGGCGACTAGACGTCAATCCTTTTTTGATCGCCTGTTAGAAGCTACAGGCTAGTACTTTATTATTTCTTATGGACGCCATATTGGATTTTTACGGAATAAGACAGAGGACAAAAAAAGAAAAATAATGACAGTCTATATATACTTTTACACAAATTTACAAGGAAAATTTTAAAATCAAATGTTTTACATTCATCCACGGATAACTAGATTTTGCTAAATCAACATGGCTATGATATTCGTTCAAATGAATTTCTTTTTTGTCCTCTATTCATTCCGTACTAATCCAACATGGTGTCCATAAGAAAGTAAGTAGCTTGTAGCTACTACATCTAGCGTACTATGGAAATTCTGAAAACAGATTCACTTTCTCCTAAAAAAGTCCTATAGAAGGTGGTAACGGAAACATTCCGCTCTTGACCGTTTAAGCTAGGAAAAATGAAAACAAAATTTGACATTTTCAGCTTTTCGGTGATATATCTCAGTTATTTTCAAAGATTTTTCAAAAACTTCAAACGCGTTCTTTTAGTCACAAAAAAGGCGAACTTTGCCCCCATTTAACCTACACTGTATCTCTCACCGTTATGGACACCCAATGGTGAGCCACCATTTTGCACCACCCTGTACGGTAAAAAGTTTAATGTGTAGCTACCTTTATTTCGCCCCGCTGAAAAAATATTGAATTTTTGTGTACATTTTGTGAGGGTTTTTTGATTTTTTTTTTAAATTTTTTGAACCTTTTTTTAAACTTGAACTTTTTTGTTATTGCTTGGGGGGAACAACTTTTTGTTAACTTGACAGTGCTATGAAATCACAGAAAGACAACTCAAAGTAGCGATTATAGATACCAATAACCCTCTGGGTAGGCTAACGGCTAACCAGGCGGATATGGTAAAAAAATCACCTGGTCAAGGTTCTTGACCACTATCTGTTCGCCCTAAAAGGCGCTACACTAGCACCCGCGTTCAGGGGCGAGATCGTAAGAATATCGTGCGAGAACAACCAATCCCTTGAGTGGTTGGCAACCTTCTACAATTGTGGGAAAGGTTCATATTATAACCCAGCTAGCCTCAGATAAGAGGATGTTTCCAGCCGAGGTGCTGAGAGACGCCCACTTTAACGGAGCCACCACAGCGCCAACTGGCAATTGCCATGGAGAATGACTGGGCGGTTGCCAGTCAGATGGTGGATTTGGTGAGGGTAACCTGGGCGGTGAAATAGTTCTCGGCATACAAATCGCCAGGATTGGACGGCATAATACCGCCCTCCTGCAAAGGGGACGGGATGCTATTGTCATCTACCTAGTGAGACACGCATACTCCCCAGGAAGATCTACAGAGTTAACCCTGCCCTGAGTCGTAGGGCGGATTGAGAGATCGCTGGACTAGAAACAGTTCACACTGGCAGATATAGATATAGAAGGGGCTTTTGACAAAACAACCTTCGAAACAAAAGAAATAGCTTTACGATACAAAGTACTGACAGGATGCCCCCAAGGTGGGTTGCTATCACCACTGCTCTGTCGCCTCAATAACAGTGGCTACTATACGCTGGGGTATGCGGACGATATATCCATACTAATAACCTGCAGAGTCTATGCAGACTCCTTGTTCATCAACCCGACAAAAACGGACCTAGTTCTCTTCACAAGAAAAATAAAAATAGAGGACCTTGGAACTCCCCTACTATTCCAAGAACACCTCTAATTTTCAGAGTCAGTGAAATATGTAGGAATCACACTTGACCAAAAATGGAATCGGAGCAAACATGTCCAGCAGCTCAAAGCCGAAAAAGCAAATGGGGTTTTCGAATAAGAACAAACGCACTTAGTTGGATTGCTTCTGTTTGTATTAAGTTTAACAAAAAAATGGCACAGAGTCCCGAAAACCGCACGTCTCTTATCTTTAAAAACAGCTGAGTTGCTCTGCAGTCTCAACCAACATAGCACACAGGGTATATTTTCATGACTGTATGATTATTTGTATTTTTTCGTTTTATTGTATTATTTTGCATACCTACTTTTTATGTTAATAATAAAAAATCAAAATTTTCTTAATGTTAACTTTTTTATGATATGGCCCGCAGCTTAAAATCGCCCTTGGCGATAAATGAGTTTGACATTACCATGCACATTGACCAACCACAATACAAAACTATGAAAGACCTGAAATCTTACCAATCGTGATGCTGTGATGTTATTTTTGTAATTTTGAAATTGGAACATTTCCCAAACGCCAGCAGACTGGTCAGAAAAGTTGGCACACCACCAAGTCAAAAGATTTTGTTATGAGTATGAGATTGGAGTGCAAAATATCCTCGAAAATATCATTTTTCTTGCAAGTCAAAATAATAGTCTTTCATTGGTCACAATTACAAACAAAAGATCCCTCATTGCCTAAACATTGTTGCTTTTATCCCCCCAAATTTTCTCAATATAATATTTAGTAAGTCTTCATATTCCGATTGGAATTTCATTATATTTCCAAAGTTCCTCATCCCCCCCAACATTGTTTCTTATTCTCTTAAATTTTTCCATTTCATAGTTACCTACTTCTTCTGCAACAAATAAGAATTTCCCATGTGATCCTGATACCACTTACAAAATTTTTATTTTATTGCCTACATTTCCAAATGTTGGGGATTAAGCAATGATCCAAATTGACTATACACTTACAAAACATCCACGACCAAATCCGCATCCGAAACCATGGTCCTATTCCACGTTTTTGAAGATGCTTGGCGAAAATAATTAAATGTCAAGTGACAAAAATATCATGGGGTTCATGAACCTACCTAGTGAACCTATGGGGGAAGCTAAAATTATATGTTAGTGTACAAGTTCTGGTAAATCAAATAAAACTAGCACTAGCACTACTGCCCATCTACGAAGGGCAGGAGTCCTACCCTGAGGGCCATTAATACCTTCTTATGCTAGACTAGTGTCCGATTCCATTTGTGGTGGTTATCGACGTTACGGTCAATAAATCAGCAAATTTCAAAAACCTTGAGTGTCTCGACCGACATTTAGTTAATTACGACAGTTTCAGTCGACACAGAGAATGTGGAATAAAATCACTTACACCGGTCTCCAGTTCAATACTAAACGTAGCGACATTAGTCGGGTGACTAGTCCAAACTTCCTCCATCGCATCCGACTCCGACCGTTGCAATGTCGTTGGATCGGTTTCCGCAGTTACCTTACACAACAAAAGTCAAAATCTGGAACGGCCTAATATTAGGAAGTGGTGCTTTGATTTTACAAAACCTTTCGAGAACTGCCACAAATTTTACCTGGTCTGCAAATGTCAAAAATTACCTGCTTTGGATTGTTATGGAAACGGTGGCGTAACCTTGGCTGACATGATCAGAAATATTTTTTCTTTTCAGGCCACTAATCAACAATGAGAAATGAAATGGAATGGAGTCCCCGCACCTCCGCCCTAGATAAATAATTTTACAACAAAAACAAACCGATAACAAGCATAAAATAAACAGGAAAAAATACATATGATTTTCGTAAATTTATTTAATTAATTAAATCCCAGTGGCTGCAAAGCGTAAGCGTAATTTTCAGGTTATAGCACTTTAGCATATAACAAATAAGGAATAACCTACTAATAGGATTGTTTATTAAAAATTAAAATACGACATAAATTTCAATCAATATCAGTATCCGCCAGATCCCCCCTCTAAAAATAATTTTTTATTTTTAACCCCGTCCCGTGTAGGTTATCCATATATTTATTATTTAATATTACGTCACACCTACCTATTTTCTCCGTTTTTTTAATGGACGAAACAAAATCGCAGGAATAATTTAATATTTAATACTCACCTTTCATCCGCAGAAATCGCTGATTATTTGTGAAAAAAACCGAACATTTAAGTGCATTAAACTGTAAACAACGAACAATAGCACAGTGTTATAGACGGAGAGACGCGCTTTAGCTATTGACTACCCCCTCAAATGCGCCGGTTCTTAATAGCCCAGCCATAGGAAGCTGGGAAGGTGGACGTGCTCTCTTATCTAAAATTATTTACTAAAATATTCCTCGCGCATTTTTAAATTTTTCTAAATTAAATTCACATTTTTTGTAATTATATGTTAATTTTTTTACTTTAGTGAGGTTTTTCTATATTCCCATTTTTTCTTGCTATCTGTGTCTCACTCTGACACGGGAATTTTTATAAATCGCTCTTCCTCTTGGATTTGTAGCCGCCTTCAATTTTTTTACAAATTCGTTGGCGATATTTCTTTATTATTAACAATAATAAATTTTAAAAAAAATTGTTATTAATTGAGAAAGCGACAACAATATATTAATTAAATTAACGCCATGTTTCGAGCCATTGGCGTGGTGTAGGATTTATTGATTTTCTCGCCAATAAAAATGTACCCATATAATCTTACCACTTTTTATTTAAGAATATTTTTTATGATCTACTTCTACTTAGTAATTTTAATAAGGGAGCAAATTAAATTGAAATGCAACTGTAAATACAATCTTATACTTTCAAGGTACGGTGTAGTAGGTATTGATTTAGTTTGATTCTCAAATTATGCGAAAGAGGCTAACCTTTGGGGTTACACTTAATTTAGAAAATGATCCGGTATGAAGTTTAAATATGAGACGATATGGCAACGCAAATTAAATTACGTGATTTGTTTATAAAAAATTAATTATTGATCTAATTCAATATTTATGACTTACTTGCAGGCGCATTTATAACGCATTTAAAAGACGAACGCGTATTTCGTTATTTATCACTTCGATATCGATATTAACACTAAGACTAAACACAATTCTATGTGCTTACATAGCAAACACAAGTTAAAAAATCATTATGCAAACATAAATGACGAAAGCGACGAGATACAATTGTCATTAGTTCACAAAGCTCAGGATGGTTTCGTTGAACGTGCAATAAACCTTTTTTCTATTGGCTATTTCTTAATTATTTTTGATAGTGCACTAATGATAATTTCCATAAACCCACCATAATAATGTTAATGGTGGGAGCGGGAAAAAATACCGGTAGGCACGAGATCCTTGCCCCATTCTCTTTCAAATTAACCGCGGCCTATCGTCGAAGTTTGTTAAGTTTCACACAAGTACTACTACGTGTCAGTTTTTCATATAGTTAAATTAAAAAGTATTAACAAATACATTTGTCAATAATTGTAAATGAGAAAGTTGACAGTGCGCATGCGCAAAACCAAATTTTGAAACTGGTGTTAGAATTGCTTTTATTTCAAGGGTCCATGTATCAAATAACATTTAAATGCTTCCATAAATAAGAAAGTTGACACTGCGCATGCGCAAAACCAAAAATACAGGTAAGCACGAAATCCTTGCACCAAGCCCTTTCAAATAAGCCCCATATCGCCCAAATCGGTCTAATCATGTAGAAGTAGGACGTGTGACGGACGGACCGAGGACAAGGTACAGCCAATAGCGATTTTTCACTAAATAACGTAGAGAGGTTTGCCAGCTCGCTGCACGACTAGAAGGCCCGCCTCCGATCGCAGCCGATTCAAAGCGCAGCACGTCAACCAAGCTCACTCCGTGACACAGAACAGTAAACTTTATTAGCTCTGTGGACAGCGCTCACCGCGTCTTCATGTCCACATGTGTATATTGTAAATAAAATCGATTTAATCTAGATATTACGCTTATTTTTCAGCAATTGCGTTATTTAATGATTTTTTTAACCTCCCCTTACCACACCCCCTTCGTCGACCGTCACGTGATTAATGGACGACCGCAAGCTGGATTTGTTTGCAGAAGCAAGAAGGAAAGGGGGCCTGCAATGTCAATAGCTATTCTTTCAAACGGATTACCCACGGCATATTGCCTCAAATGGTGCTTTCTTCGCAGCCGATTCAAAGCGCAGCACGTCAACTCACTCCGTGTCCTCTGTGGACAGCGCTCACCGCGTCTTCATGTCCACATGTGTATATTGTAAATAAAATCGATTTAATCTAGATATTACGCCAGCAATAGAAACCTCGTTCACCGACCGCCTTTAGATAATGTCAATAGCTATTCTTTCAAACGGATTATATTGCCTCAAATGGTGCTTTCTTTTGTCCTTGTGTCCCCTTGCTTGTGTTTGCAATTTACCCAGTAGAATCGTTCCCGCGCCTTTAATAAGAACGTTATCATTCCTAGATATATGTTCCCCCGGCCGTCCACCTGTCGTAGTATTTAAAACTTCTGATGCCAATTGTAGATATTAAATTAACAGCAAAGGCGTCACTAACCAACGAAACCATACCTTTGTTTCTATTGGCTATTTCTTGATAATCTAATGATAGTGAATTGATTTGTATAAACCCTTCATTATATGTATTTTTAAAAGAGAAAACACTTTTGGTATTCATTTATTTAAGAATGTTCTTTTCATACGCCTGTAACCGCTATGTTAAATTTCTTTTTTTTTGTGTTTGTCCTAACGAATTAATTTAAATTTAACTTCTCGAGCAACAAATGATTCTGAAAATTGTGAGATACCCTGTACGAAAACAAAATTAGCTAAAATGAGAACGCAGATTATGAGAATTGGATCCCATAATAAATTGGTGAGTCAGGTTGGGTTATCAAAATCAGCTGTTTACCGAATTACTGAACTTGATTTTAGGGGACAACAAAAGGTGATTCATTGTATCTAAATACTACACGGCAAAATGTTTCGCACCACCGGCTTCGACAAGCTTTTGGGTAAGTTTATATGATTTCATTATTTATTTCGGACACGAAAATCTGCCCTAGATAAGGCAACCAGCAACATTTTGATGGAACCGGAATGGAACACCATTCTACAAATATGCGATCTTGTTCGCCAAGATGATGTTCAGTAAGTTTCTTGTATTTGTTAATAATTCCACCCCTTCATTTGACATTAATCACATTTTCGTGTGTCATAGTAATTACGTTATTGTCTTTCACCTTCTGGAACTCTTATGTGAGTTTCCCGTAGTGACACATAAAGCTTTAGTCTGAGTTTAACGTTCACAAAGAGCGCAATCTTAACTGTGTGTTCCATTTTTCTACAAAGTTAGGAGTTAAAGGTTTATGCGAGGGGTTAAGCACTATTGGGAATTGTGACAGTATTATTTCGCAGGGATTTTGCAGCATTTTAACAGATTAGGGAGAAGGGTTTACGCTAAATCATTGCCGAGTTGCTTGAGGAGGTGCTGAAAAGGATATACAAACAATAAATAAAATGCAAGATATGGGGAGAGTGATATTTAATTAAAACGTTAATAACAAAAACAATCAGATCTAAATTCAAAATAGCGTTGCCCTCTTAATCACACAGGAACAGCTCTAGAGACTTCATTGATTACAAGGAGGGAAAAAAGGGCTAAGTATTGAAAACCTTCCAAAATATGTACTCACTTTGTTCTTTTACAATTTCACATTAGGTATAATACTTTTCAACTGCTACAACAACACAGGAGAATTTTATTTCCCTCTTAATCGTGACTTTACACAGGTAATTAAAATATTGTACCGCTATCTTTCACTGATATGAAATTATTTACAAAGACGGTTATGCAACGGATCCCATTCACGCAAAAGGCTCACTGTGCGAAGACTATGGGCGTTTGCCGTTTAAGCCAGGACGTAACCTGTTTCATCATAACAATATAGGGGTATGTTCAGGGATTTCTGAGATTTGACCCAAACTTGGTATCTTTTAAATGTAACACTGTATACTTTAACGTACAATTTTTTGAATTCTTTTTCGTGATTACATTGATGTATCATCCTATATTTTTTTTTATTATATTATCATATTTTTCAAAATTTTGAAATGACATGTTTCTATCGTCAGCCATTTTTATTGATTGATATCGGCTGCCTTAGTTACCATGGATATAATAAAAAATAAAATTGATGAATCCATGGCTTACTATTTAAAAAGAGTAAAAAATACGGTTTTTATTGATTTTCATCGCTCAAATTAAAACAATATACAGGTTGTGATACATCAATATAATAGGAAAAAGAACACAAAAAAAATTGACGTTAAAATATACAGGGTGTTGCATTTAAAAAATACCAACTTCGGATCAAACCTCAGAAACGGTGGTCCAAAAGTTTTTTTTACTACGCCACTGGATTCTACGTAACAATATCTAAAATAGACCGTTTTTGCCTTTTTTTAAATCTTATTGGTAGTAAGATCTGATAACGTCCCAAATTGTCAAACTTTTCGTTTTTTATTTATTAATTATTTATGTTGGCTTTATTTTTGAGTGGGCGGGATTTCAGGCGGCTCTACCAACCCAAGCCATTATACATTTACAAATATCCATGCCCCATGGCGGCACCATCTCAGAAACAAACGAAGCTAGATTGATTCTGTCTGTGGTTTCACAAAAAAGTATCACAGGTTCGCGAAAACCGCAAGTCTCTATCTTTAAAAATAGCCGAGATACACAGCAGTCTCAACCTACAGTGACTTTATAGACAGTGGCGACAACAGGGTATCTCTTTTTTGATTGGTCGTTGGTTCCGGTCGCCATGTTGGAGCTAAATTCCAAACTGGCCAATAGAAAGGATCCAAAACGACGCGGTATACTCCGTGCTATAATTATTAATTATACTGTTTTGACAGTGTCACCTGTAATTGTCACGGCTTCACGTTACTAGTTTACACTTTGCTTCTTGTATTTGCTTTATTTTACGTTTTCGGTCTCCAGTTTTATATAAACTCGACTTTTGAAGACGCATATAGTCGAGGATATAGCTTGGATTTACGATATTATAAGGTATGTAAATTGGTATATTCGCTTAAAGTGCTTTTAGATGTAAAACTGTGCCTAACCTTACTACTGGTAATTGACGTAAAAAATTTTTCAGAAGCCCTAACTACCAAATGAGTTTAGATATAAAAGTGGTTAGAAAAGCAGCTTATCTGAAATTTAGCAGCAAATTCAATTATGGTTATGGACGAGGTTATGGATAACGCAATTGTGATCATAAATACGCTTGAATTGAATTGATGATTGCTGAAGCACAAGGAATTTTGATCTCTTATACTCCGTGGACAAGATCAACGTGTTTTGTCTTCCATTTAAAGGGACTAAAGTAATACTTTTTATACCGGAAGGAGAAACACGCGACAAGGGACAAGAAGTGACAGAACACACTGAAATGTCAAACACAATTTAATGATTAATGGTTACCTTTACAATAAGTATGTCAATTTTGTTTAAACAAATGAAAAATTAAACATTTCTAAAGATCAAACATTCATAATAAATAATAAATTTCTTCCATGGGGATCGCAGTTGGAAGCGTCCCCATTACACTTGCCGCATTGCCACGTTGTATAATATGTACATTTTGGATATTGCACCATATTTTATAGTTATTATACCGTTTTCCATATATTTTTTGAATTTGGGAGGCAGTAGTTGTCCCATAGGTTGTCCTGCAAAGTTTTAAACGATCATTTCTGCGCCGTTAGTTTTGAACGAGAATCTTTACTTAAATGAAACTGACATTTATTATTCTACGGTCACAATTTGACATGACAAGGTATATTGATCCTACAATCAATTTTTTAGCTCCAATATGGCGGATTATGATAAGTTGTCGCCACTGTCCTTATAAAGTATCTCAATCAAAATAGGACACACGGTGCAGTTAAATTTTATAATTTGCGTGACAGGCCGCAGGTTTGAGAACGGAGGGCCCCGTGCGGCCGCGTGTTTAACATGCGTGCCCTACATTCTATGCTAATTACAGTAATTACAAAGGAAAAAACGAGGGAAAAAATCAAGGATACGTTTACCTGTATTTGCGAATCAAACACATACTACCAAAAGCTATCTATGTTCCCTTTCACATTCTCCTTCTCTCTACACCTGAAAAGCTTGACGCGGATTCACTTACGATCCTTCGTCCTTGTGCAATTTGAATTGGTTCATTTCCTGCAAAAACGTTTTCAGTGGCGTAGCATAAAAGCGGGAACGATAAAATTCAAAAAGTGTCTGGTATGTTACATCACAAATTATGGTATCAAATTCCGCATAGTAAGCTTTGACTGCAATGTTTCTTTTAATAATAATAATAATAATATTACCTTTATTATTTAAAAATAAAACAAAGATTTATTCCAGTACATCAAAATTAAGGGTGAAGTTCAGTACTGCGGCAATGCCACAGCCTGCTCTTCCACTTAACCCCATTACTACATGTATTACTAGAAGAGAAAAAAAAGTATTTAACTAAACAATTAAAAAAAAAAGAAAATATTCTTAAGCAACTTAACGAGGTGCTTACTTTAAAACCATTAGCTTTTACTCTCATTTTCTTCACTATGGACCAAAACAAAAAGGTTGGTTGCTATTGGCCATATGGAGCATATGGGATAACTTCCACATAATAAAATATTATTTGCATTCATTACTTTACAGACCGAAACAGGTTATGGCCTCAATTAAGAAGAAACTATACGCTCCGAATCCCCATACAGCGCTGTACGCACTTCAGGTGTTAGAAAGTCTAGTCAAAAACTGTGGTAAGGGAAATCGTCACGTAACATAAATACCGGCACACTATACCTGTAGGAAATGTAATTCACGAGGAGCTGACTTTGAAAGTCAACTGTGACATGCTGCACGATCTGGCCAAAACAACCCAACACGAAAACGTGCGCCAGAAACTGCTAGAGCTGATTCAAACGTGGACTTTCGCCTTTCGAAAGAATCCGAGACATAGCGCCTTAAAGGTACCTCAATTGGATCATTTTTAGAGTTCTAAACGTCATTGGTCGCAGGATGTGATGAATTTAATGAAAGCGGAAGGCTACAAGTTCCCGACGCTGCGCGAGAGCGACGCGATGTTCACTGCGGATTCTGCGCCCGAATGGGTCGACGGTGAGGTCTGCCATCGGTGTCGTTCCGGTTTCAGTTTAATATCACGCAAGCATCACTGTCGCAACTGCGGGCAGGTGTTTTGCCATCAGTGTTCGCAGAAGCAAATCGCATTGCCACAGTTTGGTATCGAGAGAGAGGTCTGTAAGTTCGTGGTTTTTCGCCTGTTTGTATCCTTTGATTTAGGTCCGTGTCTGTGACGCCTGCTATGAGCAAGTTACCAAACCGTCAACGGTCGCGAAAAAAGTTTCAATTGCGAAGCAAGACGATTCGGAATTGCCGGCGGAATATCTCAACAGTTCGTTGTCGCAGCAAAGCCAGGTAAATTTGCTCGTGTTGCTGTGAAGCAGAACAAAATCTTCTTTGTTTAGCTACCTCCTCGCAAATCAGAAGAGGAACTGCGCGAAGAAGAGGAGCTGCAATTGGCGCTTGCGTTGAGTCAGTCCGAAGCAGAAGCTAAGGAAAAATTTAAACCATCAATTGTGGCACCTGTAGCGGCCGTCAAAGGTAAGGTATGCCGAAAAATTGAGCTTGGTAACCAAAAAAGATAGATAAAATACTACAGACTGTTGAACATTAGTAACAGTTAGCGATGTAGACGTCTATCAAAGTACAGTGACCAGTTTTTGGAATACTTACCTTAAAAAAACTGTGGTAAGACCTAGATCACCCATGAATCAAATGGAGACTGCTTCATGATAATTTAATTGTATCTCTTGTATCATTGTGATCAACAATAGGGAGCGCAACACAACACAACAGTCTTAAAGTCACTAGATATAGAAAGTACCGCAATCATCCGCCATTTTTGGGCAAATTTGCTGCCAACTTAAAAAAATTGACAAATAAAATCTGAATAGGTAGCTGTAACTTTTTATAACCTAACTTCATAGTACTGTCATGTTTTATAAAAATATATACAGATATTTCCAAACAGGTGGAACAATCCCTAACATTAAAGTTCTGGTAACTTCCGCCATCTAGACCAATTATTATAAACGACAGGGCACAGTTTTTAAAAGTTGTTACAAGATATGATGCTTAATCAGAATTAAATTGCAAGAATAAATTGTGAAAATGGTAATACACCAAGTACAAATTTAAAAATAGGCTGGGAAAAAAAGAACTAACCAAGAAAAACCAGACAACCAATGAATATTAAACTTAAATTAATTGTTTTAAACCATGAATACATATTAATAATTAGTGATTGATTAATTAATTAATTAATAATATTGGAATAATGGTCAAGTAAATTTATTAACTGTCAAATCATAAGCTCTACTGGAATTCCTAAAGAATTACTTTTCTTAACATACCATAAAAAGAACAAACATTACAATAAATTCATATTGCTTGGATATTGGGTGGCCAATCCAAATACCCCACACATCACACAGAGTTGCGTTTGATTCAACAAGAGCCAAAGAAACATTAATTAAAATGTCAGCCTTGCATGAAAACGCTAGGAGTGTCTGAAATTCGGGGAACGCATAAATAAGGAAATATTTAATTTGAAATCGATGTAAGAAAGAATCGTATCTGGACAAATGTGTGTGTAAAAGCTGTTATCGGACAAATTAATTTGGCGACTCTGACTAAGTTGAGGCAAAACGAAGGCATCAAGCAGGATACCAAGATCTCCTAATATACCTATTGTTTTTTTATTTTATTTTTTTGGTCTTTATTTTTAAGTGGGCGGGGTTCCAACCGACTATATATATTTACAAATATCCATACTCATACCCTTAGTACCGCAGTCGAGCGTCCACACCACTGCGCCACACAGGTCTGCGTTTGTAGGCATACTCCGAGAATAATCCAGGAATATAGAAAGTTTAAACCAATCTCACATACCTTATCAATGCTAGGCTGGCTCAAAATGATGGAAAAAGGGTTTGTTCACTCTTCTCTGTTTTTTGATAAGTACAATATTAAATAGTAAAATTCCACCCTAACTGTTCCTATGTTTAAATTATCATTGTTCAAGCGATCTTTCTCATTCATTAGTAAACTTTGCAACAACTCCATAAACACGAAACTCGATCATATTCATCGGGCTCTTCGCCAAATTGTCGTCTAGAGCTTTTAAACGAATCATATTTGCCCAGCAGAAGAATATACTTCAAACTAGGTGTTTGTCGCTCTGGATAACGTGCAAATATGCTACAGAAGCCCCGATGGGGATTTCTATGTGAAGTATAGTAAATTTGTACAATATCTCTTTGTTGTGGACTTGGAAAAGCCATTTTCGCCATAAAACTACCTAGCACAAACGTAAATGTCAAATGTCAAACTGTCAAAAATTTTGTTTACAACAAAAGAACGTTTTGTTTTTCCAAAGCACTTTTTGCAAAAAATGAAAAATGGTGTTTTTATGAAAAATGTGATACTGAACCACCATGTGTGATAGATCGTTGTAAAGAGAAAAAAGACATGATCTCAAAATGTGAAAAACCAAAATGGCGTCCATAAGAAAAAATAAACCTGCCACTTGTTTTGAAAATTATTAAAAACGGGATGTCTCCACTAATAAAAAGTGTCCCAATAATGTTTTGATTTGTCTAGTACGATTAATTTATCATGAAAAAATCAGACATTTTCGTGTTTTTGCGACTATTGAAGATATTTTAAATTTATTTTCAGATTAATATTCAGCACGAAAATTTGCAAATTTGCCTTCTATCTCTTAAGATAAGCGAGATCCCCATAGTGGCACTCGAAAAATTGACATCATGTATACAAGGTGTTTCTAAATGTGATGTAAATATAGGGGCTTATTTTATGACTAAAAGTTATATAAACATAGGCCCGCAAACACTTCGTTAATGATCTACAGGGTGTTGTAGTGTACTTAACCCCCCAGGTTCAACGCTAACTTCACACTACAAGAACACGGAAATAAAGTCAACGCAGAGACTTGCTATAACTAGACTGCGCTTAACGTATCTAAGGTGTTGTCGACACAGTATGCAACACACAATGCACCGCGGGGCAAAAATGGCTGAGATGATTTATGCAATATAATGAAATAAGCTGTTATTTTAGATGTTCCGTTCATTAATCATTCTCGTGATTAGCTCGAATTAGTGAACAGATAAATTTCTGTTGAGAATAAACCAAGAAACTTAGGTTAACTCGTGCCTATCAACATGTACTCTGTCGATAAATTTTTAAATAATGTGCTGATTTTCAACGGATAAAGGTTTAAAGGGCCAATGGATCAGAGCCATTCGAAGACAAAAATTTACTCCCACCATACTGCATTTGTGGGGAATGAAGCCGATTTTAGAAAGGTACCGAAGAAGGTGTTAAACAATAATGCACTACCGAGCGTTTTCGACTTTCCCATTCACTTAAAACAACGTAGAACTATTATTCGACATCCTTTACCAGCAAGACAACGGCAGTAGGTACCTATTTGCCTATTAGGTATAGACATAACTAAGTACTTACTGGCACTAAGTATATTTCAAGTTTTGTTACAAGAAAAATAGCTAAGTCTGTTAAATGTTCCATATGTGGAGATGCGATATTCGCATCAGAGAGTCATTCAAAGCTTTTAACTAGAAAAAATCGTGAAGGATTGTTGCACGTATCAAGCGATGCATTAAAAATTTGCCAAATTGCTGGAAATGTGCTCAGGTTTTTCATTAAATCCACACCACACCGCGTTGTAAACAAAATGGTTATCAGCAGTCTAAGAAAAATAAATAACAGTTACAGCCCATTTGGGTTTTTGGATAGGCATATATTGAATCAAAATCCGCTAAATAATCATATCTTACTACTTACATCTTTGGTTTTAAGAGTATATTTTCCCATACGTGTTCACCACCAAAATACACATATAAATCAAATTAGGACTAGAATAAGGCAGTTATATACCAATTTAGTTCAAATAAAATACCAATAAATTCGATTAAATCAGTTAACAGCTATATGTTATCTTTTTTTGCTACTAAAATTTAGAATAAACATGGCTAAAGCAAGCTGCAGAACGTACGTCTGCCCCGCGATGAACAGTTGGTTGCCTATCCTATCTTGACAACAGGCGTTTATAGTAAAATCTACGTTACGCGCGGTCTAGTTATAACAAGTCTCTGAGTCAACGGCAACGTTTAAAAATGGCCACCCGAATGACTATTCCCTCCACAACTAAACAAGGTTTGAAAAGTGGCACGTGATAAAACACCTAAGGCGGTGCCCCCTTACGTTAGTTGTAGACAACGTTTTGACCTGAAGCATAGTAGGGAAGGAACGTAAAATAAAACACTTAAATTGTGAAAAGTTTGTTCAATAATGATCACAATTATTAAGATTGTGCAAGCTCGGAAATTTAAGTCGAAATAAATTACATTGCAAAAATAAACTTTGAAAATGGTAGTTCACCGAATAAAAATAGAAATAGGCTGGCCAAAAAAGAACTTACCAATAAAAAAACCAGCCGTCAAATTCATATCAAACTGTGTTGTAAAATTAATTGTTTGTAATGATGTGAATGCGTAACATAAAATTATAACATCGCAAAAAGTAGCAGGTAAACTTCAAGAGGTAACAATGTAACATATAGGTTAAAAACAAGTTTTGGGAATTATGGGTCAGGTAAGCAGGTACCAAGATTTTAAGAAAGAATACACAGGATGTGACTCATCTTGGGTGCAATATAGTCTTTTTGTTACAAGCCAAATGGAAAATTACATGGCCTTGTAGGCAAATTTAACTACAAATAAGATATATGGAAATTATTGAATCGCCACTCATTTATGGGACATAGATTCTAAATTGAAGAGCTTTGATTAGCGTAATCCCGCTCCTGGTTTCGGGGTTTCGAGCCTACAGTTGAAAGGCGAAGACAATCATGGGATTAGGTGTTGTAACTCAATTTTGACTACAGTTTTTACCACCCCCGTGACCGCTTCATTCACGTAGAAAATTGTTAGTTACAAACAACAAGTCAGTACATACATCAAACGAATCGGTAATTTCCACATATTAAAATAAAATGATCAAAACTTATATGAATGCAACTTCAGGGACAAGACCAAGTAATCAACATCATTAAACATAAATTAAGCAAGCATTACACCAAAAACGTAAACAATTACAAACAATAGCATAACGGTATTAAACATTTCATTCTACATTGCGGTTAAAACAAGTCAATTTCAAAAACAAAGATTGAAATACACAAAAAGTATTAAATGCGGCATACAAAACACAAAGACGATATAAAGAAATGCAATAATTACTAAACAACACAAAATAACAACAAACATTTATGGAGCGCCGTTCACGACCGCCATTCAAAACAAGATGCCAAACGTGCTTTTTAGATGGCGCAGGCAGCTTTTTCCCACCTAGAAATTGCGCGGTTGCCAACTCTCAAAAATGTGTGCATCGTCGTAAGTAGTATATACAGGGTGGAACCAGTCAGTGTTAAAAAGTTTTTTCTTTATATTTCTTGCAGCTTTGCAGAGATATTTTTCTCGAATTTGAAATATAAGTTACACCGAAGGGCTTACATTATTGGTCATGTTAACGGTAGTGAGAATCTACAGAGTGTTGTTTTTTCACCGAAAAAAAGTCCAGGGGTAGAAAATGGAACATGACCCCTGAAAATACAACACCTTGTAGATTCTCACTACCATTGACCATGACTGAATTTGAGCAAAACTGCAGGAGATATAAAGAAAAAACTTAAAAAAACGAAATTATAACACCCTGCGGGTCAGTAACGAAGAGTTCGCGGACCTACGTTTATATGAACTTTTAGTCATGAAATAAGCCAAAGAATTAGCCCCTAATCGTTTTAGGAACACCCTGTATACAAAGAATATTCTTCAGACATTAGTGTATATTACAAAAATATTCAATTCAAGGAAGATTCTATAAGTTTTCCTTAGAATTTCAAATTGATTCAGAGAATATTCGCAGAATGATGTTATATTATTCCAACTGTAACTTGGAGTAGCTCATGAGTTCTGTAGTATTCTATCTGCTAAAAGCCAATGAAAAGTAGCCTGAATAACAGAATTTTCATTTGATTACTTTAGTCGAAGCACGCCAACCTGAACGTACACCATCCCCGGCCGAAGGTCAAGTACTCAGTCCCGAGTTAGCTCGCTACCTCAATCGATCTTATTGGGAGAATCGCCAGTCGGACGCTCCAGAGGCGAATCGTCCAACAAGCCCTTCCGCTCCGGCTACGGCTCCAGTCCAAATCACTGAAACCAAATTCCACGAGAACGGATTGATGAATGGCGAGCTGCACGACTTTATCAACACGCTAAAGTCGCAAGTGGAAATTTTCATCAATCGAATGAAAAGCAACTCGAGCCGCGGACGATCGATAGCAAACGACAGTAGCGTTCAAACTTTGTTTTTAAACATTACTGCAATGCATTCGCAATTGTTACGTTACATTCAGCAGCACGACGACAGCCGTTTGTACTACGAGAGATTGCAAGATAAGCTCACGCAGGTTAAGGACGCGAGGGCGGCGCTCGACGCGCTTCGAGACGAACACAAGGACAAGCTGCGCAGACAGGCGGAAGAGGCGGAACGGCTGCGGCAACTGCAGATGGCGCACAAGCTCGACATTATGCGCAAAAAGAAGCAGGAGTATTTGCAGTACCAAAGACAGCTCGCCCTGCAACGCGTCCAGGAGCAGGAGCGCGAGATGCAGATGCGACAGGAACAGCAAAAGCAGCAGTACCTGATGGGATCGGGTTACGGGACGTACAAAGGTTCTCCCGTTCATTCACAGTACGGACCTCCGACTGGGTATCGTACATATCCGTACGACATGCCCATGATGATGCCAGGGCCGCAGGGAGTACCTATGGGGCATCCGTCGTTGCAGGCACCGGCAATGGTCGCAGGTAAGCATGTTGTCCATCCTCTTGTCAAAAATGTATCAACTTGTATCAACTGCTCTGTAAATGGGAAGTATAACAGGGGAGAGCCTGGGTAAGTTCAAGGTCACTTGCCACCGGGTGGTGACGGTGGAAAGTAGGTCAAGTTGAAGTTCACAGGTTTCCTGCCACGTGGTTGTAACCTTGGATAGTAGGTCAAGGTTAAAGGGCATACTTTTTCATGGTCACAGGGGTCATACTCTGTCAGGTTGCCAAGGATCAAAAGCCCTTTTTGATGTACCACATTTTACTGTCAAGGTCTTGAAGGTCAATGACCCCATTTTTGTAATGTAATATTTTATTTCTAAGGTCATCAAATGACTATTTCAAATTTTACACTCAAGGTCAATGACCCCGTTTGTTGCGGCGTAAAATTTCACTGATTATTATTACAGCACACAATTACGAGAGTTGTGGGGTGGTAAAAACACCCAAAAAGCTTTTTTTTAGCAACTACCTATATTCACTAAAAGGTCTTCTAGAATTCTTGGGTTAACGGTCTGGGGGGAAAAAGTAATTACTTACTTTCTGAAATTATTAAATTTCGCAACATATTTTTGATTTCCTATACAGAGTGCCCATTATGTATGGAATATAGTATATATCTCGGTAAATATTCAATGTATACAAACATTTTTTATATAAAAGTTATTTAACATTTCATTTCCCATAATAAGGCAGCATTCCATTGTTTTTATTTCATAAAACAAATGAATAGCGAAAAACAATTGAATTTTTTAAATAGCAATGCACACTTTCATTATGCTCATTTGATTAGAGATTTTCTTTCTCTTTTCAATGACGTAACACGTAGAAGAAATTAATTTCAACCTTTTTGTGATAGGTTATGCTGCTAATTTCGTTTTGTCTTCAAGGTTTAATAATAAACGTGCATGTTCATTTGTTTTATTCTGATGTAGGATATCTGGATTAATGTTATTGATCTAATTATAATAAATTTTTTTGAAAAATTTTCTTGAATAAGGGTACTAACATGTTATAGCATCGAAAAGGTGCACTGTCATTTAACACAAATTCAATTATTTTTCGTTACTCATTTGTTTTATGAAATAAACACAACTACATATTTCCTTATTATGGGAAATAAAATGTTAAACAACTTTTATATTAGTCCAAGAGCCCAGTAGGAAAGTATACCTTGAACGCCCGGACGATTCTAATAATTTTCATAGGATACGTCATAAAAAGTTGCATTAGAATCGACAACGGTGCCGGCGAAAATCCTGCCGAAAGCAGTTAAAAATAAATTAAATTCGCCCCTTACTTTTGGAAAATCTACTTTATTGTCCCGGATGTTCAAGAAGAGTACTAAAGGGTGCATATGGATGAGTTTTATCGGAAAAAGTCACGGTGCCGGGGCGCAACTTGCCGCAACCCTTGGCACCGCGACTACAAATGGGGTGGTAAATCGTACTAAACTACCTTTTTCTCCCGGACCAAAATGACCTATATGAAATATGTAGCTTGCGATTATACGAATATAAAAAACCAACGGTGCCGATTCTCAGGTTGCCGGATGTCCTCGGCACCGTCGATGGAATCCGGAAAAGTAAAACACAAACTCGTACATCATAAATTCAGAAAGAGATGGGTATTGCAGGCCTTACTATTCAAGAATTGTATGTTTCGGAATGAAAAAGGAATTTCTTCATAATTTATTTTTGAGGGCGATCGCCATCTTGCGACACATAATTGAAAAGCATCTTGTATTCTCTTTCTAGTGATGTAAACATTTAACGCCAGGAAAAATGAGGCAGTAACATTTAACACCGCAAAAATAGGGTCGATGACCTTGAAAATGGGATTTTACACCTCAAAAAAGTAGGTGATTGACCTTGGGAACCTTGGAAATGAAATAAGATACGTCACAAATCAGGTCATTGATCTTTGATGACCTTGGAAATAAAATATGATATTTCATTTACCTTTGATGACCTTGGGAGTACAATGTGGCACCGCAAAAAAGGTTAACCTTTGGTATCCCTGAAAGTGAAATATGGCAACACAAAAATGAGATCACTGGTTCCCAAGTGCCCTTGTAGTTATTATGTAACCTTCCAACAGGAATGCCACCAGGTCTACCAACACAAGCCGGCATGCCACCCCAAGCCCCTCCAACCGGCGTACCATCCCAAGGACCGCCACCAAACATGCAGCCTCAAGGACCGCCTCCAAATATGCAGCCTCAAGGACCTCTGCCCGGCCATACCGCCCAAGGTCCTCCTCCCGGCTTGCCCACGCAAGGTCCTCAACCCGGTTTGGCCCCTCAAGGACTGCCGCCCGGATTACCACAGCAACCGTCGCAGCAAACCGGTTTGTCGCACCAACAGGGACTGCCCCCTACGCATCCCGCTCTAAACGCGAGAGCCGTACCTCAGCATTCGGCGGCTCCCGTCGGAATTCCGCAACATTTTCAGCAGCCCGGCGCGCCGCCCGCGAGCCCGCAGGTGCCCCAACCACAGCAGAACGGAGATGCGCAAACAGCCGAACTGATCAGTTTCGATTAAATGCTTATTAGATGCTAATTTCTTCATTATATTATTATATACACTGCAGAATTATTCCATTTTTACTCCTTGCTTTAATTATATATGTGATGAAACACATTAGTCTTAAATGTGTACACGTTTTAAAGAAATTGTAATTAAAAAAGATTGTAAACAATAAATTTATTTAAAGATGACCGATTGTTAATCAAAACCTTCCGGGCTCACGGCCATATAACATAGAACTCCTCCTCCTGGGATTTGTTTAGTCGAAACGAATGCCCTGCCATCTGGTGATCCGTGGTGAAGCATTGGAGCAATCGGTCCCGTCCTTGGCAAGTATGGAATCTAATAAAATCTTAAAAATGTGATTATAATTGGCATTAAGGTACCTGTTGTGACATCATATTCCCCAGGTTTTCTGCAAGAGGCGATAACGTGGCGGTTTCCGGGGGTGGCGACATAAACGGTCCATGTAAAAAGTTGTTGCGCACTTGTATCCTTAAAAACTGCGCGTACTCGTTTTTTACTTTACATGCCTCCAAGTTGTCATCCGGTAGGCTTGCCAACTTTCTTGCCCATTCTGAACAACGTACTCGGTCTGTTGATAACAAAAAGGATAATTTCTTTGTACACGACAGTTTTGATGTATGTTGTACCATACGGATTGGACAATTTGGGTGCATGAGCTGCGATGTCTCTCAGTGCATACTTGAATTCATTGCTGTCTCTTGTAGCCATTTCATTTTGTAGTTTAACAATTTTGACAACTAAATTTGACTGTCACATTTTTGCCGTCATGGTTACTGGGGAATTAGTGGCATATTGAAGGTCATTGTGGTTTGGTCACCTCAGGCACCAATAACAAGCTTTTTGATATACTCAAATGACGAAATGATATTCAAGGAATTACTGTTGGCGAAAAAGCACGTACCAATCGTGTACAACCAAAGTGATAGATCTTTCATTGTACATTATTCAAGTAAACCCCTTTTTTACGAGGGACATGAAAACCAATTTCTGAGCACGAATTGTTCTTGGTGGAAGAAAATAATATCCTGGAGGTTATAAAGAAGCGAAGAATGCCAACAATCTCAAACCCTATAGCTGTTAATTGCGTTACGTACCCGCCCTATATAACTAAGTTGGTTGCCATTCTTTTCCGATTCATCTGGCAACACTGGATAGCAATATCATAACCACCAAATGTTTTTATTTGACTTTGAAGTTTTAACCTCACTTTGCGATTTTACTATTTGCGGTATTCAGGAATTAGAAAACCATGGTGTGTAACGCAAGCTCAGTTCGCCAGCAATTGGCGAACATTATTAACTCTGGCGGCTCCCATAAAGATCAAGCGGAAAAGTTCGTCAAACTACTTTTTTTCGATATACATTAGACATTTTTTTAGGTACCGTTTTATGTTGGAATCAATTCTGGCCGATGCCGGTACGGAGTTGGTCGATTGTTTGCAAATTTTCATCGAAGCCAGTAGGTATCGACTAATGCGTAGACATAATAATAATTTCGCTACTTTAAGTCGTAAATGAAAACGTCAGTTTAGTGATATCACGCCAAATACTCACCGACGTAAGTTCACATCTCGTTAAGTTACCAGATGACATTTCTCGCGCCGTTTCGCATTACACCTTGGAGAAAGTTCAACCGAGAGTTATTTCGTTTGAGGAACAAGTCGCCAGTATACGTCAGCATTTGGCCGACATTTACGAGAGGAATCAAAATTGGAGGGAGGCAGCTGGAGTTTTGGTCGGTATTCCGTTGGAAACTGGTCAAAAGTAAGTATGCAATGTGCATATACATATTATATCTACTGTGTAAAGTTCTTTCAATCGAACGCTCTATTATTTCACTTAGATTCTATGTAAAATTTCATGTATAATGTCCCATACCTAAATTTAGCTGTTTTTGACTGTCATTCGTGGTGAGACACCCTGTAAAATTATTATTTGCAAACTAATTCACTAAAGGTCCAAATGAAATATGTTTACGTCTACCTACTCTAAACAAATCCCTGACCAAGAATATTCTCTTAGGCAGTATACTGTCGATTATAAGTTGGAGACTTACTTGAAGATAGCGCGACTGTACCTCGAAGACGACGATCCTGTACAAGCGGAAGCTTTCATTAATCGAGCTTCGCTGCTGCAGGCAGAATCGAAAAATGAGCAACTGCAAATCTATTACAAAGTGTGCTACGCGAGAGTGTTAGATTATCGTCGAAAGTTCATCGAGGCCGCCCAGAGATACAACGAGCTGTCGTACCGTAACATTATTCACGAAGATGAACGAATGACAGCACTGCGCAATGCTCTTATATGTACAGTGTTAGCATCGGCGGGCCAGCAACGTTCCAGAATGTTGGCAACACTGTTTAAGGACGAACGCTGCCAACAATTACCGGCCGTCTCGATCTTGGAAAAGATGTATTTGGATCGTATAATTCGACGCAGCGAACTGAAAGAGTTCGAGGCTTTACTTCAGCCGCATCAAAAGGCAACTACAGTGGATGGTTCCACTATACTCGATAGAGCAGTTATTGAGCACAATTTGTTGTCGGCCAGCAAGTTGTACAACAACATTACGTTTGAAGAGTTGGGGGCGTTGTTGGAGATACATCCATTAAAAGCGGAAAAAATTGCCAGTCAGATGATCACAGAAGGGAGAATGAACGGATATATTGATCAGATTGATACAATTGTTCATTTTGAAAGTAAGTGGGTAGTAGTTTTAAAATTGTTTGGTTTGTTTCACATTTCCATAATGCTGTTCCCCTTCTGCAAATTTAGAGCTCCCTGTTTTCCTACAATTGGACGTTAAAAAGAGACATTTGTGTAATGTTACCATTCGTCCCGCATTGAGCGGGATTGTCCCGTTTTCAAATCTACAATCCCGCAAACCCCTTGTCCCGCATTGGCCTTATGTTATGCGGAATTCGAGTAAGAGTAAGTAAGAAGCAAATTTTCTTGCAAGACTTTCAGAATTCTCATGCTGTATACTTGGTTTAAACCGGTGATTCGGTTGAGTGAAGGTATTAGTTGAACCAAAGAGTAGTTATATACTCTTTGGTTGAACTCTGTTTTCTCCTACCCCACCCTCTACTCCACAACCGATTTATTTCAGTGTTGTACAGAATTGCACCGCGTTGACCTTGAGTTTCAGTGAAACGCTGATTTATGAAAGAAGTTTCCTTTTGGTTTTCTCGTGTTTCGATGCGTATTTCTAAATATTAATATTCGATTTTGTGTTAGCGATTGTGGTTAAATTTTTGAAAACTGTTGCATAATTGCAGAACTTCCTTTCATAAAAACACAATTATAAAAAAATTGATTTTGAACTTCCTCTTCCCCCTCCCGAGACCGCAAGTAAGCGCCCGGTGTCCCGCGTTGACAACATGTAAATATGGTAACATTACATTTGTGCAACCACATAAAAAAGGTAGGTTTTATGAACACAGCAAAAAAGAAATGTTATGTTCTAGTCCCATCTCAGGAAAAAATTTTTTTTACACGGCTTTTTTTAATATTGAATCAGTTTTGTCCATATGTGTCAGGAACAAGATCTCACTACTGGAATCACTGATGTCCAACAAATTGAATGTTAAGATATACAGAGTCTTATGCGTATAAAAAATACCAACAATGGGATTTTTTACTACACCACTTGATTCAACGTAAAAATATCTAAAATATGCAGTTTTATCTTTTTTCTATCTTACATGGGTAGTAAGATATGATAACATCCTAAGGCAAACTTTTCGTTTTCACCCTGTATATCCTCGTGTATCTTAGAATTCTTAGAGCAAACGTTGCTAAGCTTAATTCCGTTGGTGGTATTAAAAGTTTCATAAAAAAGTGGCGCAGAGTCCCGAAAACCACAAGTCTCTATCTTTAAAAACAACTGAGATACACTGCAGCAGTCACCAAAATAGGACATACGCTCGGACAAACGGTACACAGCTGGGTTAAGCTGGATTCACATGAATACGAAATCCGACGATACGGTCATCCGAAATGCTTATGATTGGTCAATAGTTTGAAATGTCAAGTACATTTCAAATTATTGACCAATCATAAGCATTTCAGAAGACTGTATCTTCGGATTTCGTATTCATGTGAATCCAGCTTTAAACGTATTGGGAGTTGGATGCTTGTTTTAAAACATCAGTGATCTTTAGGTTTTTCAGGAATTTATTGAAGCCTTTATTTTAAACTCATAAGGTCGAGTCAAATCCATTTATTTGTGTTTTTTTTTCTAAGTTGAAGATGTTTTTCCGTTAGTTCCAGACATCTGCGAGTTAAATAAGTGACATTTACAAAGAAACATGTCGCGTTCGTTTAAGAATTAGATTCTATTATCATGTGCAATTAATATAAGAATGTTTTTACAATGACAATTCAACTCATGTATATAAAATCGCATAAGTCGCAGTGCAATTGTCACATTGACAGCGGCAAAAGTTACCTGCAACTTTTCCAGCGACAGATGCACTAGTGGTTTTTTCACTTATTCATTTTCGAGCCAATTATCGCATTATCCTTTCCCATATGACTAGTTTGACGTCTGTCTATAATTGATTAGTTGGTGAATTTCTTGTTCGTTAAATTGTCCTGCCGAATTACACTCGAAGTTTGTATTTAAACCGAGTAAATTTGGGTTGTTGCAATTCAAATCTGTTTCCTTTTAGCAATTGAACTCGAAAAACTGCCAACCTAAAAATCTGTCGCATTTTTATTAGTTGACAGTTTTTCTCGTCTAATTGCTAGGCAACAGATTTTCATTACCTTAACAACCCAAATTTACTCAGTAAAATACAAACTTCTTGTGCAATTATAAGTGAAAAATTGTAATGAAATTTAATAATTAAGCCAATGTCATACGGCTGACTGTAATGCAACATTTTAAATTTAGGTAAACAAGGTAATGGAATAAAGTATCATAAAAACGATGGTAGGACATGAATAAGTCGATGACAGTGGCGGCGCAAGCTGTGCTCGCGCAGGTGGCAGTAAATCAAATAGGCGCCTAATGAGTGGTCTGAGATGGGAGCATTTCCTCCTCAAAAAGTTGTTGGCATTTACCTCCAAATATATTTCCTCACAATTTCAAAATATACTTTGACTAGTACTAATAACCATAGCAGTTGATGGGCCTAGAGATGTATGGAAGGACGCAGTTTCTAGATCTCGGCCCACAAATAACTAATTAAACCCCTAAAGCGGATCTAAAAAAGCGGCAGAGCATCTCGGTTTGACCCTACGGATCATTGGATTTGACTCATTTTCAATAGCCTTGTTACATATGGTATATACGTCATATTTTCAGCCTACGCTTGAGTTGATTTTGCAGATGCTGAATTATTTTTCTCAGTGCAAGCATTACTTTTCTAACCGAGTTAATAAAGAATGAGTGCAGGCATAATAGGATGATCATCGAGTATCTGAGTGTCCTTTTAAAGAAAGTTTAATATGTTTTTGAAGTACCTATATAGGCAAAGCAATGGGTAGATTTACCTGGGAAAAAATACAGGAGTTTTGAAAATTTGCAGATCAGTTCATCTTCATGACCATAATAAAACCCTAAGTTTGCGACACGTCATGGCGCCGCCATATTGAAAAGATGGCGCTCAAAATCAGTTTTTTCACGATATCTCTCTTCCAGTACCTCGTAGTTGAAAAACAGATTACAAAAATTTTAGAGGAGAAAATTCTCTACAACTTTGGTACAATAAGTTTTGCGACCAATGGTTTAGGAATTACATGCTGAAAAGATCAGAGGTATTCCATAATAATATTTATATCCAAAAATCCGGAAAAATGGGGATGGAAAAGGAGTAATTTCGGACTTACTACTTTTAAAACAACTAAAGAGCCTGCTCCAGAAGTACTTCTGAAATTCATTTCATGCAAGTGTAAAAAAGGATGCGTCTCAGCATGCGGCTGCAGAAAGGCGGGTTTGAATTGTTCCATAATTTGCATTTACTGCACGGGAAATTCTTGCGAGAATATGGCGAAAATTTTGAACGGCTCGAATGACCAAGACTCAGATGATATCATTCTATTACCGACGTTTGATGATGTAGACGAAGATTCCGGACAAGAGTCGGAACCAGATGTGGAAAACACGAACAATACCAGTGTGAACCTGGTCCATCCAGAGTATTGCGACGAAGACAACAATAATTGTTTAAAACATTAAAATGTGGATTACTAAAATCGCCCTTATTTATATCGACGTAACTCTGGAAATATTGATCCCAGAAAAAAACTTTTCACACAAACGATCTACAAGTAGATAATTTTCTTGTCTACAATTTTTGTAAAGCCATTTATGGTCTAGAAGGTACCGAAAAAGAGATATGAAAAAACTGATTTTAGGCGCCATTTTTTCAATATGGTGGCGCTAGCGGCGGTACTTGACTGTCAACTTACAAAACTGTATTTTTTCCAGGCAAAGCACTTTTGAGTCCCCCATTGCTTGACCTAATATCCCATCGGCTAGTGGATGTAAATAAGAAAGTGAAAATATGTATTGGTGCATTGATAAAAAAATGTTTCGCAAAAGCCTACTTACATTACAACCAGCTCGCGCCGCCACTGGTCGGTGAATTTGCCAATCATGACTCATGAAAGTAAATAAAATTTTAAACAAAGCCAATTGATTGATAATAAAAGTATTTTAACTATAAATTTTTTATCTTAAACTCATGAAGGTTTTTGGAGTTGGACATCCGATATCAAAATATCCAATTTTTGATTCTACAAATTTTTTTGCTCTATCATACAAATTTAGACTGGTTGTTGGTTTTTCAGTTATGGTTATACAGCTTTTTTTAAATGAACCTCTAACATTGAGCTTGTAGTCAACATCAATTTTTAACACTATTTCCGCGACTTTTACGATGTGCTGCTGTTTCTTGGGAATAATAATAATCATTTATTGTCCAACAGAATATTTTCCAATAACAGGACAATGTACTTGTTCGCTAAATAAATGCAGTGTACATACAGGGTGACAATTTGAAAACTTACCACCCCCCATATCTTAGTAAATAAACGAGATATTTAAAAAAATCAAAATCCGTTTCGGTAATTCGGAGGGGGAATCACAATGACATAGTTGGCGACGCACCCCCTCACACCCCCTGCGCCCTAGCCACCCCAACTTTTAAATCTTAAATAGGGACTCCCCATGTGTGATACATTGGAAAGCTCTGAAAAAATGCTTTCCAACCATACCAAATAGCATTACATTTAGGTTAGTAATTATCGTGCAAATCAAAAAATAAACATGGAAAATCGTATTTAACTTGAACTTCCAAAGCCGACTCGATAGCAACTCATTTTTGATCGCCAGTTATAATCTATTCTCAAACTCTTGTCGAACCTTTTCAAATGTTGGTTTTGCAATATTTCGACATTCTTGAATTATTCTCTCTCTTAGTTCGTCTAATGTTCGCCGGTTGCGTTTTAGATACGACAGATTTCAAATGTATCATATTAGTTTATTTTTTGATTTGCACGATAATTACTAACCTAAATGTAATGCTATTTGGTATGGTTGGAAAGCATTTTTTCAGAGCTTTCCAACGACGTATCACACATGGGGGGTCACTATTTAAGATTTAAAAGTTGGGGTGGCTGGGGCGCAGGGGGTTGGAGGGGGTGCGTCGCCAACTATGTCATTATGATTCCCCCTCCGAATTACCGAAACAGATTTTTTTAAATATCTCGTTTATTTACTAAGATGTCGGGGGTGGTAAGTTTTCAAATTGTCACCCTGTATATGAAACTAAAAGTGTACTGTAAATATTCAAAAAGAGTACTTAGAATTAAACTTAATAGAGATTCACAAAGAATAAGTTAAATGGATATAATTACTAATTATTAAATTATACAAAAAAAAGAAAAAAGAGCAAAAAATAATCAGAACAAGTGAAAATATTACAAAAAAGCGCAAAAACAGAAAAATACTTTATTGTGAAATATACCTTAAGATTGTCGGTAAGCTACTAAAATGTATATCACACTTCCGGCATACTGAATTAAACTTTTGACAAATTGAAATGATAGGTGAACTAAACAGGATCTCAGGGAAACTGAAACTGTGATCTCACGGCAGAAAATGACTATACCCAAAAATTGTTTGCAGTATATTCATCACATCATTTTCTATTTTCCAGGAAATTTGTCCGAAAGGTATTCTCGCACGATTAGGGCGTTGTGCACCATCCTGTTGAAACCAACAGTTGCAAACTTTTGTTTATCTTGTGCCATACATCGTTGTATTTGCTGGTTTCATGGTATTCTAATTAAAGGACTCAACAAAAGGAACAGTTTTCTACCAACTACCAAAATAGGGAGTGGGGGGCAGAACTGGTTTTGTCCTTCATGGTACTCGAATGAAATGTCCCAACAAAAGGAATTAGTTACAGAGAGTGTAAAAGTAGAAATTTTTCGTATTTTTTCGATTTTCTGGGAAAATGAAATTATGTTTGAAGTCAAGAACACTGAAGATCTGGCTTGTTTTCGTTACCAGTGTTACTGACAGGCTATTTCAAAGCATCCTATACATTCACTGTTCAAGTTGGTTGCGCTTCTCCCCCACTTCAGCAGCTACGAGGCAGAACATTCATTTAGAACCTACCATTAGGTGTAGCTGTGGCTGCATGAGAAGAAGACCTGCTGAAGTGGGGATGGAAGATTGTCGAACATCTGAGAGCAATAACAACAACTCCCTATGAATTACTGTCACTCATAGTGAAGTCTCTTTAAAAAATGGTCCCCCTTGAGAAGGTGGTAAGGTTATCGTTCTTTCAAGGACTTATCAGTAACATACCCCTGGTCACTAAAGCGCAATTTGTTTTAACAAGAAAATTAGTTTCCTTAGTGATAATCTCATATTTTTTCCAAAAGAATAAAAAAAAAGTGAAAAATGTCTCCTGTTACACCCTCCGTAAAGAAAGATTATATGAGAGGCCATTTTTGTTCGCAATTTACAGTAGATTATTTTTGTATACAGCACTTTTTTGCACTAAACCACATAGTTTGCTAAATATTTAAGAACAACTAATCAAAACTACTAATTTTCAACTTTCTTCCTCCCTCCCAATCAAACCCGACTCTTAAAATGGTGTAACTTTTTACCAAAGAGTCTGTGGACTGTATAAAACAATTTGCAGTTGGAGGGAAACTTTTACTTTGATGTTGAGGTTTGGGTCTAATTGCACTGTACTATTTGTTACTAGTTTTCAATGTACTTTCATCTTGTATTGTCGAATATTTTGTCACTTATGGTTTAGTTAAGATGTATGCTATCTCCTGGTCCATCACATATCTTTCAGTCAGCATACTTGCGTTTATTGTAGGACTTTCTACTCTACCTGTATGCAGTTATCAAAAATGTTTTCCACTTTATTAAAGGGTTTATTTTTTCAGCACGTGAAATGCTTCCACAATGGGATAAACAAATTCAATCTCTCTGCTACCAGGTGAATTCGATCATCGAGCTAATATCAAAAACTCAGCCTGATTGGATAATAAAAGTAATGGAAGAACAGATGGTACACTAATTTAATTTTTTATTTATAACTTGTATTGTTTAAATGATATTTAAATAAATGTTCGTTCGGCAATAGTGTGAGTTTGTTGCTTGCCTCCGGAACGCATACAAGAAAAACATTTGGAAAAGTGAAAATCATTTACAAATGTACAACTAAATAAAATCGATACATGTATATTTAAAATGTTCACTTGCACATGATATCTACAGAACAGTAGGCGTAACATACATGGTAGTACTAAAACATCACCAAATATTTTTAGGCTTCCAACTCCAACGCTAAACCGATTTTGTGTCCTCCGTTATTGAAATTCTTTCCGTCTATTAATGTGGAAAGAGTAATTGTAATACCTGAAACGAGAAAGGTTCGGATTAAGTCACTTAAAAAAACGACACAAATATGCTTACCATCGCGAAGACGCTGTTGATAACCTAAACCGATTTGGCTAGCGTTGTTTACCTTCGCGCGGATACAGGCGTCCGCGTCCAGTTCGTACTTTGCGCCGATGCCGAATCGGGTGTTGTTGCTTCCGGCCGACCACGCGAGTTGAATGCCGGTCTCCAGTTTGGGCGAAAGCTTCTGATATATGGAGCCGCCGAATTCTTGACCGTCGTCACTAGTATCACTAAATATGTATACAGGGTTTTAAAGAATGCCAATTTACTTAAAACTAAAACCTTCGATATCTAAGTATTGATTATGATTCCACTTGATATTCAAGTTTTTCAATATTTTCTTTTTAATGAAATATGTTACCTTATTCCCACCTTACTTTTCAGTACGTAAAAAATGCAGATTGCTCCAAAATTAAACACATCTCTAAATTTACTGTACTATACACATTGAACATAGATAAATATGGAATGTAATCTCACTTTTGTATTCAAATATTTAATAAATGAGAAGCCTGATTCAACAAAACTCATATAAAAAATCTGTTATTCCCATGCACACACTCGATTGGGTATGCACTCTCAGGCCCGTAGCCAGGTGGGGCTCAAGCATGGTTTGGCCCCATCTACGGTATAGAATTTATTTTTCTGTCTTGGCGAGGATAATTAAATAAACTTCAAAGGATAGCAATGACACATCAAAGCTGTTCAATTTATTGTCATTTCTAGCCTCTGAAAAAGAAAGAACACAAAATTTGATTTGCAGAGGGTATTCAGTAAATTTGATAATTTGAAAAATATATAAATTACGGTTGTATTGAAACCTTCCATATCAATGTTTTATTCTTAAGCCCCACCTAAAATTTTAGTAGGAGTGGGTGGTGCGAAAAATACTGTATGGATAATGCGACTGTATTCCGATGTAATAAGATGATCCATCCAAAACAAACTTGATATGAATACAGGGAGGTTCACACAGCCCTGGGGTCAGCAATCTATTGAAACAGAAGAGTGGGACAATTTACAACATTTCCCGGTTTTTAAAGAGCCATTAAAAATGTTCGAGTCAATATTATAGTATTTGGTTATATACAGGGTCCTGCAACAATTCAGCGGTCTTTCGTAGCTCATAACCGGTAAAAAATATTTTTTAAAATCTGTTGTACAATGAATGTCAACTATAGATGGTTGCGCATCTACAGAAATTATTTTTGAATGTACAGGGTGTCCCATTTTTACTGTATCAACCTGATTTTTTAATAAATGGAATCTTATTAATTTTTTTCCAAATAATTCCCCATAAGCAAGCCTCACTTTGATAAATTGCAGTCTCCTTGATTTTGAAGTTAAGAAATACATTTGATCAATTATGTTATTTTGAGTAAAGGGCAACACTTTGATAATGAGAAAGTTGGATTAAGTGATACAGGGTGTTTACAAGGAAATGGTAAAATTTCCAAACATCGAAGTGCCATAACTATTCTTTTACAAATTGAACTACCACTACTTTATTTCGCTGTTCGATTGTCCTTTCCCTTTGCTTAAACCCCGTAGTATTTAGGTTATTCAATATTTTTGAAAAAGCACCCCCATTAATTCATTACTTGTTTATACACCGGAGTAGGCTGTGATAATAAAAAACAAAAGAATGCCAGAAAGTAAACAAATGTCACAAATTAATTATTTGCTGCAAGTGTACTTTCTATTTCGTAAGAAAATAAGATTAATCATTATTTATTATTTCTTTTTAGGTTATTTCAAGAGAAACAAAGAAATAAAACACATTCTACTTTTACGGTATCCGAAATCCTCGTTCTAAAATAGCGCATTGAGAAAAGAATAAAAAATGTTTCTATTTAAAAAACACAAGATGGCGCCACTTCCGGTATTTACGGAAGCGAACCCTTCTTGAAATTATTTTCTTTCAATTTGCAATAGTGGTTTATGGCTGTGAACCCAATTTGAAGTTTGTATTTCAATTGCAAGTTTAAAACAACGAATGGGCTATGTCAGGGGTCCACAATCGCGGAGAATTTCGAAAAAGACGAACTTTTTTAGATAAATGCGAATAGGCGCAACTTTATATCCAAAGACCGCAGGTTGCCGAGCTCCGACATAGGAGAGGGGGGAAATAGACTCTTCCAATATAAAATCTGAAAGGGGATGGGAATTTCTGATCTCAAAATTTGGTATCCAGGCTCTTTTTGAGTAAGAAAATAGCGAAATCGAAATTAATTTTTGAAAGTTCATTTAAAAAAATCTAACTGTAGTTTTGAACTGGACAATAAGTGCGCGAAGTTCATGACATCTGTTAAACATGTACACAGTTATTATTCCGTATATTTGAACAGTGCGTTTATTATGATTTATGAAACTTGAAATACATATCAAAAATTGAATCTTTTCGTGTTTATTTCAAAAATATATAACATGTTGACTTTAGCTTTACCCGTTTTAGAAATATTTGCATTTATAATACATCATCAAACTACATTGAAAGTAATGGTGACAACATTTTAAATTTTGGTTACATTTTATGTATTGAGAATAAATATTAAACGGCTAAAGTTGGTCTAGGTTATTTCCAGGTTAAAAAACTAGATAATAATGGCCATACATATTTTTTAAATCAGAAAGAAAAGATCTAATTCAATTTTTGAAAAATATACAGGGCGTTCCATTAGAAATCGAACCTACAGAAAAATCAAAGTATGCTTCTGGGACTTTCATTTTGCACGTTTGCTCAGTTTTTAATTCTGAACAACTATTCTTAATAACATTTGTAATATCTCATCCCCAGAGAATACTTTACTGGTATGCAAAAAAACGTTTTTTTGAAAATTTCAAAGGTACTCTTGGTTTCTCGGAACAAAAATTATGTCATAAGCTGGTTTCCAATAGAGACAAATATTTTTTCATTTACAAGAGACTTTTAAAAAATTGGCGGGAAGACATTGTATATTCAGGGTTCCAGGCTACTTAAACAAGAAAAAAAAACATGCATTGAACTTGTTGAATTACAAATTACGATTTTACATTCCATCTGTGATAATAGTGCGTAACATGATCTACATTCTCGCAGCCGCCTACACAGATTTTTGCCTTTTCCTTTAAATGCAAATTGAAGTATGTAAATAATAAGTAAAGGAATAGTTCGCTAGGTCATGGAAAAGATCATATAATTTAAATTAGAGCGCGCACAAACCAATTGACTAATCAGATAGTACCACAATTCGACACAATGTGGCAGCACTTATCAGTCACGTAGGCGGAACAACCATAAATAAACAATGTGTAATTGTTGTACCTGAACCTACTTTTTCAATTTCATTTTCAGTAGAGCCTCGATAATCCGAGGTAATTGGGGTAGTGGCACCTTAAAATGAGTAGCGCTGCGATTACATGAAAATAAAATACGGTTTAGTTTTTTTTTTCTTTTCGACCTCGGATTACCACCACTTACAGTAACCACAATCTGTGAACATGAAAATGTGACACCTGAAATTTAGTTTTTACATCACAAAAATAGACAAGTGACATTTATGAAAATTAATTGATAATCCACTTTTTTTAACTACCATGTATATCTAAGAACTGTGTCGATTGACTTGTAGAGGTTGTGCTTTTGTCAATGATTGTACAATACTGTGCATATTAAAAAAATTTTGAATTAAAAAAGGTATGATCATAAAAGTAAGAGGGGAAAAGACTTTCATTATTTTAAATGGGACACCCTGTATTTAGTGCCAAAGTCTTAATTCTATCTATAGTTAAGTTTATTTACTTACAGGGTATTTTCTATAAAGCTCTAAAGTAATTCTTTTTTAATGAAACATCCTATATATTTTTGTGTCACCCTTAACTTATTAAATAATCTTTTAATTTTCATTGATAATTATTTCCAATGGTTTTTTAAATCGTAACAAATTGTTCCTTAGGGCCATAATAGCACTCCGCCGAACGTTACCACTTTAGTGCTATACTCACTTCGTCGTTTCTAAAATGTCTCCCTCGCACGAATGTTGCTAGGCAATGTCTTGGCCGCATTACGAAATAACTGTTTAGCTTTCGTCAACATAGCAAAAGAATTTGTCTTTCGCAAAGATAGTAATGAGAACAAACAAAAAGTGAGGTTACATTTACCAAACTTACATTCACATCACGCAACCTAAAAAAAACCAATAACTTACACGTTGGTATGTAAAATAAAATCGCCCGTGGAAAATCCAAGCGCAAAGTTATTCTTTGTGAGCCTCGACCTTTGCGTATCGAACGCCGTCTGGTAGCCGGCCAACCAGCCCTGATGCCCGACGACCGCCGATGCCTGAATCAAAGGTCCCGCCATATCGAGATCAACGTCGCAATTGAGGGAGCACAAATCGTGTTGGAATGCTGACTTTACGCGTCCCGTCTTGTTTCTGTAAGCGGATTATCACGATAAGATCGTCACCGGCACGCTACGTTACCCGGTCTGTGGTGCGAAGGTGCAATCGGCGGATAGTTTCAATCCCTTCATGAGCTGATCCTGTACGGTCACTTCGGTGGCGAGTGTGTTGTCGGTATTCCACTTCTCCGAGAACGTTAGACCATATTCTTTGACTTTATACTTAGTTTCTAGCGAACCAAAGACCTTGCCCGATTCTTGATTAGAAACTCCGCCTGTGTTGAACTCGACGCCGGAATTTGTTTTCGTTTTACAATCGACTTTAATCAATCCAAAATGATATCCCTTGCCGAACACATCACGCGCGTTCTTTCCAAGATCGGAGTACGTTGGTGGAGACATTATCTACGGTAAACAAATTAAAACAACTTTGGCTTTGCAAAGAGTTCAAATTGAACTGATAAATTATGGTTTCACTTCCTGTTTTTGATAGCCCGCTTTAGAACCACAACAACCTTTGATTGATTCGTGATTTTCAAAATGTATGGGAGAGAAAACGGCCCCCGCTTAGCACGAGATTACCCCGTCACGTGACGTTAGGGCATGACCTACTATGACTCTTGTTTTACCGTTTTACTACCAACTAGAGCGTTTATTTATATAATCCGCAATTTTTAGGTAACATTTTAACTACTTTTTAACTCTCCGGTCGATTTTCTAGTTTATTTGTATACTAATTTTGTAATACGCTAAAAATAGGACTTCGTAAGACAAACGACTTCATTAACATTTATTTACGTTCTTCTTGTCAATTCGAAACGCAATAAAATGCACATTTATAATAGGCGAAGTAATAATTTAATAGAACGTAAAAACTAAGATGCATGTAACGATTTTTCATTTACAAAACGTTACGTAACGGTGCAATTTACTTAGTTTACCCGGGTTTTATTTGACAAATTCGGCAGAAATTACACTTACTAAATTATTCTAAAAGGGCACGATACCAAGACATTAAAAATTACGGATTAAGGTTGAAATTTCGTAGATAAGTACGTGATATTACTCACTTATTTTGAGGTGATTTAATACAGAAACACCAACGTTTTTGGAAAAATTATCGACGGCTCTTCCAACGTGGACAATTCACTTCGACACCGGTGAATTGAATAGAAATAGGAAGCGAGTAAAAATGTGATAGCCGAAGGTGATGGCGTGATACGTTTGCGCACACTCGGCACAATTGACTTTTCTATGGCGCCTAATTTAAAACGCTCGCATGCTTTGCGGTTATTGCAATCGATTTGGCGAAGTCAAACCATGTTTGCAAAAAGAAGCTCTCGATATAAATAGGGAGTGATGGCATGGAGGTCGCAAAAAAAACGGGGCGGTATCTTGGTGCCCGACATCTTTCTGAAGTGAAATCATCAGTTAGAAAACAGCGCCGGATTGAATTGACTTTTATCATTGAGTACACTCAACGCTTTTATCATTGAGTAATAAAATCCTTCACTCAACGCTTTTATATAATATTTAAACATAAGAACTCAACTTTTTGACCTGAAAAATGATTTTTTTTGTTAATTTGAAGCAACGACACTTATTACTATAATAGTAGGTAGTTTAAAATATGTCACAAAACCCTTTGTGTGGGGAGGGGATGGTAGCGATAATGTGCGCGTAAAAGTCAGTAGAAGAGGCATTTTTATCACTCTCATTAAGAGGTTTCACCCTGTATATACAACCTACGATTATGCATAGGTACATTTTTGACAACTGGCAACCGCGCGACTTTTTAGAAGAAGGGCAAAAGTGGACCTGTGTGAACTTGGCCCCCCAACTTTAGAAAGCAATAATTTTCGTGATTATAGATTGCGCTTCGTTTGCGCACGTTTGCGCACAATTGCATTTTGTTTACGCGCTGCCGGTTTCAAAATTACGAAGAAATCAAATTCGAAGGGGCCAACTTCACAACTGCCCCCAAGTTTACAAATTTGACATTTTTTTTCTTGTGATCGTTTGCGCATGTTTGCGCTCCCAATACCTTCGTTTGCGCCCCCGTCGTTTTTGAGTTATTCCAAATACAAAATTTCATACTGGCCCCCCATTTTTCAAATTCGCCATTTTTTTTTCATTTGATCGTTTGCGCTTCGTTTGCGCACAATTACACTTTGTTTGCGCGCTGCCGGTTTCAAAATTACGAAGGAATCAAATTCGGGGGGGCCAACTTCACGACTGCCCCCCCCCCCCAGTTTACAACTTTCACTTTTTTTTTCTTGTGATCGTTTGCGCTTCGGTTGCGCTCCCAATACCTTCGCCCCCGCCGTTTTCCAGTTATTCCAAATACAAAATTCCATAATTGTTCAAATTTGATTATTTAACGCTTTTTTTCGCAAAGTTCGACTAATTCACTTTTATTTTGCGTAAGAATAGCATACATAGCGTTTTCATTTCTACAGACAACAAGCTACATTTTTTCGATCTATAATTATTCTATACGGTAAAACAACAATTAATTGCAACTTTTTTGCCTTAATCAAAGCTATTTTTGACGTATTACGAATTACGGTAGGCAACATTTGCAAAATGCTTTGTTGATATAATTTTTTGTATGTGTTTTGTGTTAACTCAAAAACGACGGGGGCGCGAACGAAGGTATTGGGACGCGCAAACGTTCACAAGAAAAAAAAGTGAAATTTGTAAACTTGGGGGGGCAGTCGTGAAGTTGGCCTCCCCGAATTTGATTCCTTCGTTATTTTGAAACCGGCAGCGCGCAAACAAAATGCAATTGTGCGCAAACGAAGCGCAAACGATCAGATGGAAAAAAATGGCAAATTTGAAAAATGGGGGCCAGTATGGAATTTTGTATTTGGAATAGCTCAAAAACGACGGAAGCGCAAACGAAGGTATTGGGAGCGCAAACATGCGCAAACGAAGCGCAAACGATCACAAGAAAAAAATATCAAATTTGTAAACTTGGGGGGCAGTTGTGAAGTTGCCCCCCCCCCAAATTTGATTCCTTCGTAATTTTTAAACCGGCAGCGCGCAAACAAAATGCAATTGTGCGCAAACGAAGCGCAATCCATTTCAATCACGAAAATGATTGCTTTCTAAAGTTGGGGGGCCAGGTAAAAAATGGTCTGCGCCGCCGTCTCAGGACCGCGAACGCTTCTTACAGTCCTCTTAATTTGAACCGTTGAGAATGAACATTGTGTAGTTAAGTTTGTTGTTTTTTGTGTTATGTAATGCAGACAGTAATCTTCTGCCAAAAGAGCGAGGGAGGCACCAATCGCATCAATCAATGTGTTATAACACGGCCCGGGTATTATTTTGTCCACAACCGTATTTAATCGCACAATCAACAATTTTTCCTAGGTCATCGATAAGTTATTTTTACTACACTATGAGAGTTTTCAAATTTGTATCGTTCCCGCTTTTGTGCATTTCATTAAAGGAGAAAAACGCATGGTACGCCACTGTTTTACCGCAAAGCGCATAATTCAAATTGCACAAGATTTGGTCGCGCGTAAAACAGAGTATGGATTTGCTTCCCTCAAGCCCAAGCGAGAAAAAAGCTTGTAGGGTAATTGTTTAGCATTACTTGCTTGTCGATTTATTAGGGTGTTTGCAAGGCTTTATAAGAACAGTATTTAGGGGTAGGTAGATTTTTGTTTGTTAAAGATGTCACATACGTAGTTTTCTCATGTACGTAGAAGATTCATTAAGAATGGCGCTTGCATTACGTTTATAGGGAGTTGAGAAAATTCCTTTTAGTTTTAATTAAATTAAATTAAAATTAAATTTTATGCTGTTGCATAAAGGGTGAGATATCATGTGTTAGGGGAAGGTTGCAGATTAATATATAGGGTGCTTAAATAATTTAGGGTATCTGGGAGATTTTGTGTAAGTATAGGCTATGTCATATACTGTGGCTATGTAACCTTTTCTACGAAATGAGGTCATAACGTATACGTAAATTAGAGACATGATATAGTACCCATATTAAGCTGAATTTATAGTTCCGTACCCGCAACGCCGTACCGTAACGTTTGGAATTAAACCCTACTTGTTGCGCGTGAACATTTATACCTAGTTCGCGTTTACGTTGCGTTAGAACGGTTACGGTACGTAGGAAATGCCCAAATCTTATTTCTTACGGTAAATCGTGCTAAGGCTCTTGTCTTCGGTAGTATACTCGAATAATTCAAACAGTTGAGTTTATCCTGACGTTCGTTTCGTTTATTTACAATAATTAGTGACACTTTGTTGGTTATTATTATTTTGAAATGCACGTTTACTCTTACTTAGTCCAGGAAATAGAGACTGAAAATGGACCATTTCCTGCAAAACGAGAAGTAGTTCCAATTTTTTTTGCATGTCATGAAAGAATATCTGGTGGTTAAAAATCCAAGTTTTCGACCTCCCACCCCTTGTGCTTCCCCCGTACCACCCTTAAAACCAAAGAAATTTGGTTGGTTTTTTAGTTTTTCAATCATATCTTTTTATAGGTTCATTTTACAAAAAAATATTGTTATCAGAAATTGTAGACTATAAAATTCTACACAACTTTGATATACACTACATTTTTTGTGAAATGTTTATTAAAAACGATATAGAGCTTCAGAGTTGCTTATATTTTTAAGAATTCTAAAATTTGTATGTAGATGTTTTAACCAAATTTTATACTTTATCTCTATAATTAAGAGTTTTATGAGAAAATATCTTCAACTTATCGTGGTATAAATCCCCCTACGCTGCACCCTTACCAAAGGGGATGCATAATAATTCAACTTTCAACCCTTGCTAGTGGGGATATTTGAATCACTGTGAGATTGGAGGGCTTTCTAATATACGTTTGAAACAAAAAAATTATCTCACTTCAGTTCAGCTTCATCCTTCATCTCCCCCCCCTCCATAACCGCGGTAGGAATAGATATTCAAAGAGTAGGGGGGAGGGGGTTAAAATGAACTGAAGTGAGACAATTTTTTAATTTCAAAAGTATATTGGAAAGCGCTACAATCTCTCAGTGATTCAAATATCCTCACTAGCAAGGGTTGCAAGTTTCATGATTATGCATCCCCTTTGGTAAGGGTGCAGGGTAGAGGGATTTATACCACGATAAGTTCAAGATATTTTCTCATAAAACTCTTAATTATAGAGATCAAGTATGAAATTTAGTTAAAACATCTACATAGAAATTTCAGAATTCTTAAAAATATAACCAACTCTCAAGCTCTATATCTTTTTTAATAAACATTTCACAAAAAAATAGTGTACATCAAAGTTGTGTAGAATTATATGATCTACAATTTCTGATAACAATATTTTTTCTAAAGAAAACCATTAAAAAGATGTGATTGAAAAACTAAGAAACCAACCAAATTTCAGGGGTTTTACGGGTGGTACGGGGGAAGCACAAGGGGTGGGAGGTCGAAAATTTAGATTCTTAACCACCAGGTGACTATCTATGACATGCAAAAGAAATTGGAACTACTACTATTTTGCAAGTTAAAACCCTCTATTCCCTGGACTAACTGGCAGATGACATACAATGACAGAATTCGTTACGCGCTAATGCGCAAGCTGGGACTTGCCACTACGGAACTATAAATCGTATTATTTTCGTTAACGTAAGATTTTACGGTTCCGTTCTTACTTTCTTACGGCTACGGAACTATAAATCCGGCTTTACTTACACCCGTGCGTAATGAAAAAATTAGAATAGATCATATTGTACAAATGTCAAAACTGTCAACAAACGCCGTTTTGGGTGTTGCCTTATTTTCATTTCGAAATTCACGGAGGTCGTAGAAAGAGTATGGTACGCAATTCGGTTGTAATTTGCGTATTGCAGGTTTGTACAATATTTCCCCACTATTTTGCTACGCACCTGTAATAAGTATACTATTATGACGTAATATACTATTGCATAAATGCCAAATGTGACTATGTTTTATGACAAAATATTATTATAAATAATTATATACATTGTATGCAAATATATTTGAATTTGATTATCGTTGTTATTAACTATTTTAATTAAATTTTACTCTCTTTGCGTTTTACTCGAACAACGACACGTGTCACAACACAACATAGACCCTATCACTAGACAGGTTTATTGTTACCTAACGATTATGTGTTATGACATGAGTTTCGGTTAGTTTTGGCGGGAGTTTCGATTTTAGGTTTTGAGTTGCGCAGTCGCGTCACGGCGTCCATTACAG